ATCCCTCACACACACACACACTGTATCCCTCACACACACACACACTGTATCCCTCACACACACACACACACACTGTATCCCTCACACACACACACACTGTATCCCTCAGATACACAAAGCAGCTTTCCATCCTCTGGGATTGTACCATTCCCGCCCACAGGGGTGTCCCTTTCCCTCTGTGTCTGTGAATGCAGCCTATCTCCCTGCGGGTGTGGTGATATTGTAATAACTGATTATTATGGTGAGTTTGGGTGTCTCCCCCTCCCCCCCATGGCTGGCGGTTGCAGTACGCGGGGGGTTTCTGTAATAATAATCTCCAGCCCCCCCCTCCGGCCGGTAATGGGCTGTTCCGCAAGGTGTGCGCGCGTTGGCGTGGAGATGGACGCCGGGTGCAGCCTAGTATGTTGGGTCCCGCGAGCGGCGGCCGCTGATTGGCTGCCACTGCGATCCCTGAGCGCTGATTGGTTGGCTCCGGCCGCTGGTTAGAGCTGGTCCCCGATCAAGCTTGGTAGAGCCGCAGCGGGGATGCTCTGACAGAGGAGACAGCCAGAGACAGCCAGGGGAGCAAAGAGACAGCCAGGGGAGCAAAGAGACAGCCAGAGACAGCCAGGGGAGCAAAGAGACAGCCAGGGGAGCAAAGAGACAGCCAGAGACAGCCAGGGGAGCAAAGAGACAGCCAGAGACAGCCGGGGGAGCAAAGAGACAGCCAGAGACAGCCGGGGGAGCAAAGAGACAGCCAGAGACAGCCGGGGGAGCAAAGAGACAGCCGGGGAGCAAAGAGACAGCCAGAGACAGCCAGGAGCAAAGAGACAGCCAGGGGATAAAAGAGACAGCCAGGAGCAAAGAGACAGCCAGGGAGCAAAGAGACAGCCAGGGGAGCAAAGAGACAGCCAGAGACAGCCAGGGGAGCAAAGAGACAGCCAGAGACAGCCAGGGGAGCAAAGAGACAGCCAGGGGAGCAAAGAGACAGCCAGAGACAGCCGGGGGAGCAAAGAGACAGCCGGGGGAGCAAAGAGACAGTCGGGGGAGCAAAGAGACAGCCGGGGAGCTGGAAAAAGAGACAGTCGGGGAGCAAAGAGACAGTCAGGGGAGCAAAGAGACAGCGAGAGACAGTCAGGGGAGCAAAGAGACAGCGAGAGACAGCCAGGGGAGCAAAGAGACAGCCAGAGACAGCCGGGGGAGCAAAGAGACAGCCAGAGACAGTCAGGGGAGCAAAGAGACAGCCAGGGGAGCAAAGGGACAGCGAGAGACAGCCGGGGGAGCAAAGAGACAGCCAGAGGCAGCCGGGGGAGCAAAGAGACAGCCAGAGACAGTCAGGGGAGCAAAGAGACAGCGAGAGACAGCCGGGGGAGCAAAGAGACAGCCAGAGACAGCCAGGGGAGCAAAGAGACAGCCGGGGGAGCAAAGAGACAGCCAGAGACAGTCAGGGGAGCAAAGAGACAGCCAGGGGAGCAAAGGGACAGCGAGAGACAGCCGGGGGAGCAAAGAGACAGCCAGAGACAGCCGGGGGAGCAAAGAGACAGCCGGAGACTTCCAGCGCTAGAGACGGACTGACACTCAGCCAGGACATCACAACCAACTGGATTTAATACCCAGAGAGACAGTCACTAAATACCCAGTGATCTCTGGACAGACAGCATGTGAGGAACCTGCCAGACAGAGACATCTGGGTGAGACCTGGGTTATATGTAACTGTCTACTATTCACTGACTGTCTCTCTGTTCCAGTAACTGTCTACTAATCACTGACTGTCTCTCTGTTACCAGTAACTGTCTACTAATCACTGACTGTCTCTCTGTTACCAGTAACTGTCTATTCATCACTGACTGTCTCTCTGTTACCAGTAACTGTCTACTAATCACTGACTGTCTCCCTGTTACATGTAACTGTCTACTAATCACTGACTGTCTCTCTGTTACCAGTAACTGTCTACTAATCACTGACTGTCTCTCTGTTACCAGTAACTGTCTATTAATCACTGACTGTCTCTCTGTTACCAGTAACTGTCTACTAATCACTGACTGTCTCTCTGTTACATGTAACTGTCTACTAATCACTGACTGTCTCTCTGTTACATGTAACTGTCTACTAATCACTGACTGTCTCTCTGTTACCAGTAACTGTCTAATAATCACTGACTGTCTCTCTGTTACATGTAACTGTCTAATAATCACTGACTGTCTCTCTGTTACCAGTAACTGTCTACTAATCACTGACTGTCTCTCTGTTACCAGTAACTGTCTACTAATCACTGACTCTGGGTGAGGCTGTCTAAAGGTAGACATGGCCTCCAGGGCACTCTGCTAGCAATATGGCTGGCTGAGCATGATGGGAGCTGCAGTCCACATCAGCCGGTGATTGGAATGTTATTGTGATACAATGTATTTATTGGAGCTGGGGGTGGGGGTATCCTGTGCACATCTCCCTACAAGGTGTGTGCTCACTCTCAGTGTGTCTGGAGTGTGTCCTTCATAGCAATGTTTATACACACAATGCTGGGGGATGTCTGTCTGTCTCTCTCGTTCTAGATTTCCTATTTAATGACTAGTGCAGCTTGTCTTTGGATTGTCTGTAAGGGGATGTTGTTTTATCACCCTGTAATGGGGGTCGTCCATGTGATGCTGGAGGGAATGGGTTGTCAGAAAGGAAAGGTTTGGTCCAAATACGCATCATGGCAGTTTGGGTCTGGACAGAAAATGTGTGTAGTGTTTGTTTCCAGGAATAGCATGTTTCATCATACAATACTGACATTCATTGCTGAGATTACAAAGTATTCCTCATAAATTAGCTGTAGGATTCATCAATAGAAAAGGCCAGTCATTATCACACGTTTTAATGTAAAACTAGACAATAATAATAATTATAATAAAAGGGGCTACTTATCATGGGGTGCTGGCATCCAGGTTCTGACTGATCACCCAGGGGTTTGTTATAGATGGACAATGCATCTCCTGTGCCACATTACCTTTGCTTTAGAATGAGTGGATTTTGGTAGTTTATATGGAAAGGACAGAACCGTCAGAGAAACCACTAAAGCCAAGTAAATCTGATAGTCTGAGTCGGTTTTATCTTGTTTTGGTTTTTAAATAAAAAATATGTCTGAATACAGACCAATATTTAGGAAATGTATAACCTATTTTACATGAGAAATCACTTTGCTTGTTTTCTCTTGCATACAGTACATTATGCAGCAATGAATTAGTAGTGTTTATAGGACTCCTTTGTTTTACTCTAATCCATTTTAGACTTGCGCCTGATACAACCTTTACTTTGATAGGGTACAGGTGTCTCTGAGATGTGTATTGTGTATATTGAGGATGGCTGTTTCACTTGTATGTTGATTTATATAAACCTGTATTATTGTGCTGACCGGTCTAACAATTGCCATTGAAGTGCCAGGCCCCTATGTCTTATGGTGATGGTGGCATAACCCTACAATAAATACTTGTATACAAATCCAATGACTGCTTGGTAGAATTCTGGAATATTTGAATATGTGGTTATTGTATTGGGATATTGCAAGGGAAAAATACAGGGATTTGTTAACTAAACACTGAATTTTCATAAATTGCAAAATGTAAACTGCAAAAAATATACCTGAGTTGTAGAGTTTTTCTAAATTGCACAATTTTTATATAAATTCTCTACAATGTGGTGTTTAGGTAAAAGAAACTGTAATTTAAAAAATAAATGAAATAAAATTATATATTTGTATATGTTATTAGACATGTTCTTTAATCTGTATAGATAATTAATCCCCTATAACGGATCACCTGGCACCCCGACTGGGTACCTCAGTTGATGGATGCTCCTAGCGCTTCTTGAGGATTCCAAGCACTCTAGCCAACACCACAACCACTGCAGTCCAAACCTCTCTTCCTTCAGAGCTAATCAGGAACAAGCTCTTAAAAGAGCTTAGGAGTGATTAGAGCAAGGGAATATGCAGAGCATAGCAATACCTTGTAGCAGATTCACCTAATAAGAGACAGGACTCCAAATTGAGGGTGAAGTAGAACTGTCTAAAACTTTATTTTACTTGGGACTAGCCCATATGGTCATTACATTAACATTGCTGTGAAAACTCAATAAAATTACAAACAGTCAAATCATAGCAGGCAACATACAGTGACTTATTATAACATAATTACATATTTATAAATGGGTGGGGAAGACCATAATTAACACAAAATGTCTCTCCTGCATGCAGAATTAGCGATATGCAAATCTACCCAAATATGCAAATTACCAGTCTTGCTATTCAGGTAGTGCATATTACCTTTGCTACCAACAGAGGGCACTAGACAAGCTCCATAGCCAAATCCATCTAGTTGGTAACAATCCTCAGCAGTACAGGAGAGCAGGCAATACATCCCAGGGGCCATAGTCACATGGCAGGAGGCTGGCAATCAGTCTTCTCCAATGCCCAGTGGCGAGGCTAGTTCCGCCACATCCCCTATATTCCTTTTTTAATGAATAAAAATGCAATGAAACTTACCTTTATTCCAAACCTGGCTCCGTACAGCAACCCGATCCGCCATCCTGATAACTTTTGTCCAATCAAATGCTTCTGATAGAGAACCATTGAGGACACGGCACTTGCCAAACAACCACAGTTATCCATCAACCCAATGCTTCTGTTTGATAAGCATTGAATCTAATACTTATCCTATATAATCACTGGATGAACACATTAGGCGGAAATTAATACTTTATATGCTGAATGTCAGATTCCGTTATCGGGTCTATTTATGTCGGAAGGTTCTAGTAGTTGTTTGAATGCCAGCCACTGTTAGCGCAAGCTTTGCGATATGTAAAGTGTGACGTTTCTGAGAAATGGGGTTGTTTTTATTTGCCATGCTGCAGGGGCTGTATCTATGCTTCATTAAGATGAAGTGGTTTTAGTGTATACTTCCCTTTAATAAACCGTGCACTCTGTGAGTTGTCAAAAATACAAAGAGAATTTAAGGTTTTATGCCAAAATAGTCAAGTTTGAAACATTCTCAGAGTCAGTAGTGTTTTAGGCAGATTTAGTTTGAAGCACTGACTGGTAGGAAATAAAGTACAGAAAAACCTGCAATAGATTTGTGTGGACATATATCGCCTGTTAATGGGCAGCTCTTTGGTAAAAGTTGCAGTACATACAATTTATATGGTTCAGGGTCAATGTTACTATTTGATTCACTAATCGCGACCCTCCAGTATTAATACATGGAGAATTGGCATAGTGACTTAAACAGTGACAGAATCAGTCTCTGAACACCGAATTGTACTGAATACTGAGAGCAGAATGGCATAATGTAGTCTCACGTAGCCGATGTGAAAATAAACCAGAGGCCAACTATGCTTACAGCTTGATTATTCTAGCTTGAATTTTGCTATTGTGTATTAAATTTGCTACAATACAGTGTTTAGTAAATTAAACCACAGTGTAAGATTTCTTCTAATTTGACTATTGTACGTTAAAGTGTGAAATCCACATTGAATTCCTGAGAATTCACACTTTAGTACATGTTCCCTGTCTTTGCTCATTGCAGCCACCTACCTTCAAATCACTTCACTTCAATTAACAGTCTTTCTTTCACGTTTTCCCTTGACAGCCAGCCCCTTTGGTTCATGTGTTCTGACACTAAGGGAGTCCTTCCTCTGGCCCCACTCTGATACCCGGTGATGGTGTCAGCAGGATGCCCTGGCTGCCACTGAAGAAGATTCGCAGGCAGTTTAAGCTGCTGCTGGTGTTGGTCCTTCTTACGTCAGCTGTCTGGGTCACTTATCTGCACATCAGCCTCGCGAGGCAGGGTAAAACGCTGCGTCTACCCTTTGGGTACTATAGAGGTAACATATCTTGCCGCTTTGTGTGATTGCAACATGACCTCCTTACATTTTGCTAGGGGTTCGTGGTATATCTTGCATGTAAAGAACACTCAAAGATTTGAAAGTTCATTTCAAATATAAGTTCAAAATAGTCAAACTGAATAAAGTCTCTAAGTCAGCTATGCTGTGAGTTTTGCTACTCTGGACTATAATGTAAAATCCACTTTGAATTTAATTTACGGATGAAACACTATCACTGAGTCAAAGCTTCAATCTAAAGAATTTTAAAGTGATTCCTTATCCCTATATTAAAACATATGTATTCGTGAAGTGTGAAAAATAAAAGTAATTGTAGATATTACCCCCCCAGTCCTATGTACCTGGCAGTCATCATAGAGAGATTACACAGAGATTACTTCCCTGTCATTCACAGTTGTAAACTATGTACCTGTCAGTCAGTGCTATAAACTCCACCCTATGTACCTGTCAGTAAATGCTATAAACTCTGTCCTATGCACCTGTCAGTTAGTGCTATAAACTCCACCCTGTGTACCAGTCAGTCAGTGCTATAAACTCCGCCCTATGTACCTGTCAGTCAGTGCTATAAACGCCGCCTATGTACCTGTCAGTTAGTGCAATAAACTTTGCCCTATGTACCTGTCAGTCAGTGCTATAAACTCCGCCCTATGTACCAGTCAGTCAGTGCTATAAACGCCGCCTATGTACCTGTCAGTCAGTGCTATAAACTTTGCCCTATGTACCAGTCAGTCAGTGCCATAAACTCCGCCCTGTGTACCTGTCAGTTAGTGCTATAAACTTTGCCCTATGTACCTGTCAGTCAGTGCTATAAACTCCGCCCTATGTACCTGTCAGTAAGTGCTATAAACGCCGCCTATGTACCTGTCAGTTAGTGCTATAAACTTTGCCCTATGTACCTGTCAGTCAGTGCTATAAACTCCGCCCTATGCACCTGTCAGTCAGTGCTATAAACTCCGTCCTATGCACCTGTCAGTTAGTGCTATAAACTCCGCCCTATGTACCTGTCAGTCAGTGCTATAAACGCTGCCTATGTACCTGTCAGTTAGTGCTATAAACTTTGCCTTATGTACCTGTCAGTCAGTGCTATAAACTCCGCCCTATGTACCAGTCAGTCAGTGCTATAAACTCCGCCCTATGTACCAGTCAGTCAGTGCTATAAACTCCGCCCTATGTACCTGTCAGTCAGTGCTATAAACTTCGTCCTATGTACCTGTCAATCATTGTTGTAAACTCTGTCCTAAGTACCTGTCAGTTAGTGCAATAAACTCCGTTCTATGTACCTGTCAGTCAGTGCTATAAAGAGCACACACAGATTAGAAGAATAAAACGAGATTTCTCCTCTTTGAAAAGGTTGCATTGAACTTGCCTTATCTGAACTGGATTATGATGTAATTGGCCACATTTTTCAAATAGATTTAAAAGAAAACGACGTATCTCATGAAAAGTGTTTTCCTGAATGGTATAAATTCCAAAGAAGTGCCTGTTCCTGTTTAGGGTTTTGTAAGTGAGCGATGATAGGTGCAGTATGATATATCATGTAACAGAGCGGCACGGAATATCCTATTAAATACTGGATGGAAAGTCTGTGTGCATGCCACATTTATCTATGATTTTCCACTTATCCTGACAAAGAACCCATTGTTCAAAGGGGTTTGAAATATTGATTTGGCAATTGTTCATATTTTTTCCCCCTAAAGCAACACTCCAAGCACCATAACCACTACAGCACACTGTTAGGAAAGCTGTGGTGCCCTGCTTATGTAAGCAGTTAAACTGTTTAAGAATAGTTTTACTTTTTACCTGAGGCCCACTGGGACCACGCATCCATCTTTATAATTAACATTGAATTAATGTAAGTAAATGGTATACAATGAGTGTGAGAATTCAATCATTGAAGCAACATTAGACACGAGACCAAAAAGAGAGATTTTTTTAGGCTTGAATTGACAAAAACCTTTTTAATGTATTGTGCGATAATGCATAATAATGATTTAAAATATGAAAATGCTACACAGAATGTGCTTTGTTTGCAAGATGTGCCTGCTCCTTTCACTCCCAGCCAGCCGATCACAACAGAGAGAGGGGCAATGTCTCAGAACTAATCACTGCTGATGTTGTTACACATACTTCATACTGAGGGCTAAACCACCAGTGCTTTGAAAACACCCCAATGTCAGACCCTCAGTATGAAGGCACTGGAAAACAAAACAAACATTAGTTGTGGGTTGTTCTTAGTCTTCACACAATATTACTCCCCCCACTCCCACACTCCCCTCCCTGCCTTTCCTCGGTTGAAGCAAGTCTGGTAAATTTGCCCATTTGGCCTTACTACCGAGTGCCCACATATAATGTCACAAATGTTAAAATAAAATGAAAGGTTGTGCAGGGAGACAGGTACAAAAGATCTCTTTGTATGGTAGCCTAGGCAAACAGCACAGTCTGTTCTGATTCTTGGAGCGCCCCTTTAAATAGGAAGTGCCATGAAGTTATGGACTACACAGGCTTGTTATAAAATCTACTTTTGGAGGTCTCCTGGCTTTGCCTCTTCCATCTCCACCCTACTCTGTGAGTCAGGCACAGTTATTCCATTTGGCAAATAACTGCTGGAAGGAGGCGGGAAGCTGTGGGATCCCCTCGCTGACGGCAGGGTGTGTGTACCAGTGTGAACATTCAGTCGCCTCTCCAGAAATCACTGGGTTCATCAGCCTTAGCATTTTTTATTCGGTCTTGAATCTGCTCTGCAGATGGAAAGTTATAAGGCGGTAAATCCCTTGCAGTTTATAGAACTAGGTCAACAGAACAGGGAAACAATCATTTTAGCACTAATTAGGGTAGAACTGCATCACATTGCACCTTGCAAGAAATCAGGGGTGACTAAAAGGTAAACAACTACTTCCTCCATGTCGCCCTACTAGATGTTAGCATGGCAAAGCATTTTGGGAGTTGCAGTTCTGGCCATCTCTGCAATAGAAGGTAGTGTTTAGCGTAATCGGGAATTCGTTTTGCCATAGCCTATATATTAACACCTGGAATATCTGTGACCGGATTCTGTTTTCAGTTGCCTGTGAATAGAGTGTAACAGAATTCCGCCTTGCAGTCCTCATGATTCCAAACTAGAATCCGACTCCTCTGCTAAGTCAGAGTGGTCACAGAATGGCCAGCCTAGCTTTTCTAGAGTAGTACAACGAATGGCTCATTCTAGATAACTGGATGTTTATTTGCTGCTTTTGTGATGGTATTTGGACGTAGCGGTATACCGGTCAGGGCTACCTTCTTAAACATCTCATTTGTTAACACTGACTAGTCTGGAGCTTCTGGCTTAAGTTTCCACTGCTGGGAGCTGAGGGGCATGGGATGAAAGACATCCATTCAGAGCAGTCTCTATTTAGTCTGTGCACGCTCACACTTTCTCGGAGTGCCAGGAAGAGACCGCCTATTTGTTTATGCTGCTTTATTAACCCTTTACCTGCTGGCCAATTTAGAATTTCCAACATTAAATTTGAAATTTTATTCCCCCAAGAAATCCGCTGCGCTCAGTAATCACTCTAACATTTCAGGCATTCTTGCTACAAGTCTTTGTAGTTAGATTGTACCCACATCTAAAATAGGAATCCAGAATGGTACTGTTTCTTTGTGGAAAAACAGGAAAAAGTTGCTATTTAGTGTTGTAACATCATTAGCTAAATAAGTATATTTACACTATCCTGAATTCATTCACTAAACCCTGAATTGTAGCTAATTGAAAGCCATATTGCAAAATTTAGGAAAAAATAACTACTTTAGATTTCAGTTCACAACAATTCAGTGTTCAGTGAATAAACACCTAGGTTCTCTGAATAAATGTTATACATGTATCTAATTTATCTTAATCTAATGCACACATAATACACATAAACAAAAAAAATAATGCACACATAATAATACAAAAAAAATCACAAAATGTGCACTGTAAAACCTTCCAAGGATCCTTGTCTGATTTAACCAGTATGGCTATACTGTGCTAAGCCCAACACTTTGTCCTATTATTCCCATATTGGTGGACCCTAATATCATTTCAGCATGGCAGATACCAGCTACCAGCATTACTTTCTGCTAAAACACTGCCGAGAGGTTCTCCTTGGGTGAATGCCTTACTAAAGCCTTTCCTGTATGAAGGTGTAATCAACTCACAGGCTCCAACGACACATTTCTTTTTTCTCTAATCCAATGTTTTAACAAGCAGCGGTATCCAGTCTCCGCAAACACTATACATTTGACGATATGAATTGTTTGTTTTATTAGTCATTTTTATGAATTGGTTTCTCCATCTTGCCTCCTCACTAGATGGGGAGAAACTTGAGGGGACTGATCCTGCCCGCAGACCTGGAGGGGGGCATGCCTCTCCCCCGCACACGCAGGCAGGGGATTCTAGTGAAGAGCTTCCAACGGTGAGTGTAGGAGGATAAAGAATGGAAACCATGCTCAATGTGGTTGGGAACGAGGACTCCAAACGTGTTCTTTACAATATTTTTCTCCCTTTTTCCCCCAGGTGGACGGCATAGTTTGGAGAAAAGGTCACAAGTGGCCCTCCAGTATGAAGCAGGACAACCTGACAGATTCACCATTGCCCTGGGAAGAAAAGGTTAAGGAACAATTTAAAATTTCAGCATTCATTTCAGCATAGAAACCGAGCTGTTGAAATGGATCATTTTAATTGTCTCAAACCTGTTTGCTCATATGGTCACTGGGCAGTAACTGAGGAAGACAGAATATGTTATCAATCCCTGACACCTCAGTCACTGATACCACAGGCTAGCAAGAGAGCAGATATGAAGAGGCACAGATCTCATGGCCCCTATGGACAGGCTGCCACGAGTCTCTGACAGCACTGTATAATTACATACCCTGTTATTCTTGCAGTGTATAATCTTTCTTCCCTCATGTAGAAGCGTTATCTCTTTGCTTTCATGGCCGTTTAATACCCATGATTTTTCTTTGTATTGTTTGATTTTCTTTCTGCAAATCTCAGAATGTTCTGCTCCCATGTTTCTGGATTTTACCATGTTTGTAGCCTTGTCATCTTCTGTCTATATTTTGTTTCACAAATATCTTTACTTTCTTGCAGTACAAGGGCAAAGTCAATCTTCATGTGTTTGAGGACTGGTGCGGAGGATCTGTGAAACACCTGAAAACCAATTTACACTTTCCGCTCTACCCTCATGTGAGTATTGGACTTTCAATGCAAACTGGAATTCCTGCCTTCACCTTACTGACCACATCTGTACAACTCCACAGATTCGCACGACTGTTACCAAGCTGGCCGTTTCACCCAAGTGGAAAAATTACGGGCTGAGGCTATTTGGCTACATCCACCCGTATAAGGATGGTGAGTGTAGGGTGGACTGTGCCCTGGAGAGTTTAATACCATGCTGGGCAGGCTTCACACTCTACATAATAACATATTACATTTCACAAAAACAAAGATAAAGGCAGGAGATATATCATTATAATATGCAACTGAATCATGTGTTAAATTGCTGGAAAATTGTTCAGCTCTGCCAATGGTGAGACTGGAAAAGTTAATTTTTTTTTTTTTTTTTTTATTTAATACAAAAAAACGAAGTAAAAAAAAGATCAATGTAGACAAGATTGATGGGGAAAGAGAGATACAGATTTATACAGATTGATGGGGCTAGAGAGAAATAATTTGAAGAGAAATAGGAGGTTCGAGTGAGCACAAAATAGCATTAAAAATTAAAGAAAGGAATAGACCTGAGAGAAACACAAAACACTTTAGGAGTAAGGGATGGATATGATATATATCACACAGTGCGTGCAATTAGCTTTTATTACTGTACTGGAAAGTGTTTAGGGTTGGAAATATATCTATTTTATTTAAGCTCTGCAAGAAGCACAGCAATAAACACATTTCAAAGTTACAAAATCCAATAAGTCAATCAGAATTCTATTATGTTTATTAAATAATTCATATTAATGTTTGTTTAATATTGCGAAAAAGCCTTTCAATAAAAAATCATTTGAAAAGAAAAAGGTTGTGAGATGTATTAAATAGCAAATTTCAGTACAATCTAAGCTCTAGTTGTCTGTAAGAAAAAAACTGACTGGAAGAGTTTATCCTATAGTATTGTATGAATAAGCCTCTTGGTATTTTTTCCCCCTGAGATTAGTGTATTGGAATCATCAATATACGGATTGGTTTTTCTATTTGCTGTGATCGTATAGGATACATTGAGATTATAGTTTGTGAATTGACTCATGGCGAGTAAAGTCCAGTGAAATCTTAAAATTGGTTTGACATCCACAAGTCATGTAGGTAATTAGGTCACCTTCTGGAGGATACCCATTCACATATATCATACATTGTGCTAGTGACATTGGTAGCAAATATACGGATTAAAATATATACTTACTTGAAGATTACTCCATCCTCCTAAACTGGTGCCATTGTGAATGTTTACACGTTTTCATGTGGGGTTTCAGCATAGTTTGTGCTAGCAATGTGTAGAGATGGAACATTTTGTCTAAAAAGCATCAGTATTGCATTTTTCCATGACTGCTTCACTTTAATCCAATTCTGGGAACGAGCACTGTTTTAAGTAAGATGATCAATATGGGTGTGCATGTGTGAGTGTGTGTGTGTTTGGTATAGGGAATCTATAGACAAACTACACACTAGGGGGAACGTTGCATACACAAAAATGCAGTTTTGAATTTTACAAGGCTATTTAAAGGGACACCCCAGACTCCTAAAGCACTTCAGCTTGTTCTCTTTATTTTATTTATTTTGCAAAAAATGCGGATTTCAAAAGAAATTGGCACGTTTATAAATGAATCTCATTACACCCCCTGGCTGTCAGACACCCGGTTCTTCCTGGTTATTTAACTCAGTGGAGCTAAACCCAAGAGGCAGCAATTGCCCAGAGCACCTGCCTTGCAAAGACTTCTGATTAAGCTGCATTGGGAAGTCTATGATTGGACATCCAAAGAAAGTCTGGGCGAGGATAGAAGGTGGGGACTTGCAAATGCTTCAGACAAGAGATCTGTAGGTTTTGAAGGCAGTTTTAGATTTACCCCAATGTAAAAATGCAGCATGAATGTTTTCACTGGGGTAAATCTACTAAACTTTTTTTTTTTTGTGGACAGTTGAATGTCCCTTTAATATTATCAGTCTTTAACAAACAAATATGGATATTTAGACACACCACATGGCCATAATATATTTAGGTTTATCACTGCCTCAAACATCCCAAATATAGGTTGGTCCTACGCTAATCTTAATGTGGGAGATAATTAGTCTAGCTGAAAAATGTACTGCATGAACTGCTTTTGAGGCTGGCATCAAATTTTGTTTTCCAGTATTCATACCTGGTGGGTGATGGCAATCAACACGAGATCTGATCAAATACACAGAACGAATCGGGGTTATACCCAGAACATATATGTTAGTTAACCGCATTACTGGTGTGAAGAGTAACATTTAGGCACACACACAAACAAATACAGTTTCAAATCTTACAAAACCACCTTCTTTTTATAAGGAATGTGTCCGAAAGTTGAGAGAAAATACTGCATGTTAATTAAAGAAATGAAATGTATCCTATAACATAAAAAACAACACCGCTGGGTTATGTGCTAAACATTCATGGCTCGCCACATCAAGACAGTAAAAATGTTTAGTGAAGCCACAATAAGAATGTTTATAGTGTGGTCAAAGACTTGGCAAGGGTACAGACACTCACCGAGCAATGCATCTGCAAAATAGAATTGCTGACCATAATTGCAACAAAGTGTACAAATAAAGCCATACCGAAGGTACACGCATTTATCAAGCCCCACACGTCTGAACAAATGGTCAGCAACGCCTTTTGTTTTTAGGGATTTGATGAATACAAGGATATGCCAGGAGAGCAGTTTTATTCTTCTTTTATTGGTTTTCTGCATTGAAGTCCCAATGTGATCATTATCGACCTGGTAGATGTTTTTTCACCTATAGTGCAGCATGCCATGACTCGTATAGTTTGCAAGGCACAGAAATCTCACGATTGCATTATAATGTAAAACTCCCAGTGTAAAGCAATTCTGTATAATTGTCGTTATTTGTGGGGCTTGCCCACTGACCCATTGTGATGTGTTCATGATTTGTCTCATGTCCTTTGTTTCTCCATTTAGGTGACTTTCAGTTTGCTGTGGCCTCAGAAGATAATTCTGAATTTTGGTTAAGCACTGAGAAAAGTCCATCTAGCGCCCAGCTTATAGCATATGTGGGAAGGGTGAGTCAAGGAAAGGAGAAATTCTGATATTTTATTTAATCACCGGAGCCATATTGTTCTTGAAAGATGTCAGGAGGAGTTATGTACAGTTGAGTGACATTTAGCTGGAAGGAGTAAGGCAAGAACAGTTTGTTTTTGGTGTAAACCCAGTGTATGAAAATTGCAGTATTTCTGTGTGTTTTCAGATGGGATCTGAGTGGACAGCTCCTGGGGAGTATATGAAATTCAGTTCACAGGTGTCTAAGCCTATAAGGTGAGTGCTACTACCTGTATCTATGATATCACCCAACCTGCTGTCATAATATATCTAAATGCAATGGTGTATTGTGCCACCTGGTAGGTCAGGTCCACCCTGATATTTTTTAAACTGGCTAGGGGTCATGAGAGAATGTAATGTGTTCTGGACATTTCATTTTGGCCATATTGTAAACTCTACGCTGGTTTTGTGAACCCCATTTCTGGTAAATCACATTCTGGCTTAGAACTATAGGAAATGTGCTCCATAACAGATCAAGTTCCAACATTTAACCATTTTTAGTCAAACACCTGTATACCACAATGTGGGAATCTTGCAACCACAGATTCTCTGAACCACAATTCCCATCAATCACAAAATAATACCATTTATTCCTAATGCCTACATATTTTATAGCTAGTTTCCAGTTATAATATTGATTATTTTAACAGGATCATTAGGTTGTATTAAGAATATAATGTCACTAAATTTTGCATGTCTCTCTCTTGACTCCCCCACCCCTTTATTTTGTTCTGCTTTAGTCTATGATTGTCTGTGTAAGCATTTTCTTTGCAATCTCAGCTGGAGAGGTTTAAAGATAGTGAGCACTATACTCTTCACCCATAAACCGGTAAGGCCGCCCAACTTGTTGGTTCTTCCCATTTAACTAAACCCCTGACCCAGTGATAGATCATGACATGTTCAACACCATAAACATATATTTACACATATTTGGGATATAACAACTGCTTTAAAAGAGGTCCATATTCAACCCCTGATGCAGTTACCTGATGACAGCACTAGAGAATCCAAGATCTAATAGCCCAACACATAGACAATGAGTGACATCAGAAATCTTCTTAGAACAGACTAAGCATGTCTGAAGGGTCTGTACCTAGAGATTTTTTTCAAAAACACCCACCAAATCTAGACCTGACCAACTCAGACTCTCACCAGCATTTCCAGGCATCATAAAGGGAAGAGGAGTACAATGCAGAACTAATAAAGGCAGGCACAGCATGTTTCTTTCTAACACACCTTACCGTGACAAAAGCTTTCTTCTAGTTTATTGCAACAAAAAGTGGGACTATGGGCTAGCCTTCACTGCTTCTCCGTCTGCTTCTCCTATCCTGTCACCATGCTTCTCCTTTCCTGTCACTCGCTCCTCCAGCTGCAGGATGCGTTGTGCCAAGGAAGAGTTCTCACGCATGATGTTTGAGATGCGTGTTGCATGCTGCTTGAATGAACACTCCACGTCATTGAGCAGCATGTCTGCCTCATGCAGGCGTGGGGCAAAGCTTTCTAGCTTCTCATCTAGGGAAGCAAGAGCATCTCCCAAAGCATAAAGCCGCTCTTCAAGAGGATGCCAACATTCTCTCACTCTGTCTGAGGTTAAAGAGTCCACAATCACAGGGTCTCCTGTATTTGTGGCCAGTACCATAGAGTCAGTGCTTAATGTTTCCCATTCAAATGAGTCTACTGAAACCCCTTCTAAACCAGTTTGAAAGGGGTCTGTCCCCATCACTGCAGCAGATACCATTTGCGTTACACCGATGCCAACAGTACCCATAGTTAGGGAAGCAACAGTAACTGCTCCCAGTTCAAGGCACTTCATAGGTACTGGGCCAATGTCCCATTCTGCCCCTGCAATACCGAACTGCAGAGAATTAAAAGGAGGTCCCATGCCAGCTGTTCCTAGGGACAAAGCGTTGTTCTTTGCCAAGGCTAACTGCAGCGATTCCGTAGGCAAAAGGTTGACATCAGTGGCATCCAGGTCAAATGTTTCCATTCTTGTTGGTGAGTGGTCATTCAATGCCACATGTATTCTATCTGTGCCCACCTCCTGGGTCTCTGCACCCACTGTAAAACTATCTTCATTGTCCAGAGCAATGCCAGTCAACTCTTGCTTCCTAGTCACTACGTCAAACATTAAAGAAGTACCATTTTCTATTTTTGTGCCAGTTGCGTTTTGCTCCACTGACTCTATGTAGTCTATGGTAATCCCTGCTTGGTCCTGCTCCTGAATCCCTTTACCAGATGTCAAATTATCAGTTGGTTCTATCTCACTACCAATTGTCTCTCTTTTCTGTGTTTCTCCACTACCTGTTGAAGAATCATTGGGTTCCACCGAGATGTTATTTGAAACTTGCTCTTGCCATTCCAAGGAGTAGGCACATTCTGTATTAACGGTTGGGCAATCAGTTTGCTCCAGAGAGATACCTGTTGTGTCCAGCTCTAAGCCTGTAGCGTTTTGGGGAAACGTTTCACTGTGAGATACATTTATCCTGTTTTCAGATTTGTCTGTCAGTACCATGGTATCTACACTTTGAGGTCTCATGGTCACTATGCTTCCGTAATCCACCATGCTCTCCTCCTGTATGTCCATGCCACCTGTATGTATAGGTTCTCTCTCTCTCACTCTGCATTCATATAATCCATGATTTAGTAGTCAAAGTATAAGGTTTCAATGTTTCTCAGCAACGTGAATTTATTTTGAATTAGTACTAATCTTCTCCTTCGATATGGTTCTGCCAAATCATTCCCAGATTGTTAGCTGTTAGGGCACTGTCCTGCTCGGCTGAGTGACAATTTTTCTGCTCTCGTACTTCACATCCAAAGTCATTGTGTTCTGCCTCTGTTTTCATCTTGCCCTTGTCCAGGTACTCACAATCTGAATCCTCTTAACCTAAACCTAATTAAGTGACTCATGAGGATGAATTGTAAAGGATAAGGGACATTTAGATGTATTATGAGAGTTTATACGCAGCAGTGCATGTGAGAACCTTTGTTTTTTGTGTGTTTGAAATTATAGGTATGCCAGCAGAAATACACTTGTTGTATTTTAAAAAATGAGTTTAATATTTTCTTATCTGTAATTGTGTAGCCTTGAGTAAGCAAATATGTTTAACCGTTTCTAAACAATATAAGATATGGCAGGCAAAAATAAATAAAAAAACACATAAATCTGTTTATATGCTGTGCAGTGTAACACAAGTCTTGAAAAGTATGATTTGCAGTGGATACGTGAATATATTTCAGTCCTGTGTAGCAGCAGTATTTTAGAACTTCCTGCTATCCTTCTTTTCCTTATCTCCCTGCCTGCCTCCTTTCAAAAAAGTTACTACCATTCCTAGAATGAAAAAGTAGACTCATTCTCACACATCACCTCTATTGATGCTTCTCATAGAGCGCTTTCCATTGAAGGAATGAGGCACTCGCTGCACTTGTACTTCTTGTCCCCAATGCTTCTATACGAGAGTGCGTCACCAATGCTTCTATACGAGAATGTGGAAGACATCAGCATGCTAGCTTGCAAAGAAGTATCGGAGTGGCGCTGGAAAGAGGAGTAAAGTATATTTAACTTTTTTCTACAGAAAGGGAGGTGGACAGAGGGCACTGTAATAGCAGAGAACTTATAGTCCCAGAAAAACTAACAATATTTTTGGGACTATATGTTCCGTTTAAAGTGGTCAGCACAGTCAGTCACCCTTTCCATGGTTTGCAGCTATCTGGTTGAGAGATTAGGTGGTGGAATCAACTTCTAAATTTTCTTTATGTGAAATACCTTTTTGACCAAGGATGATCTCCTAAAAAATATAGCAGAAAGTCAAGAAAGCTTTGCTTCCAAGATCATTATGAATCTTTGCGTAGATCGAGAAAACTGCCTACTCAGACACCGAGCTATAAGGATAAGTCAAGGAACCACAACAGAACATCTCATCAGATAAAGCAAAGCTACATGTATTTTCATACATTTGTGAAGATTTGTTTCTACCAAGTTTCACTGGGTCTTTAACATTGTTCGAAAGGGGTAAATGATATACTTCCTAAAGTATCCTTCCACAGGCTTTCTTTTCTTAAACATAGCTTCCGCCAGACTGTTTAAAGTTATTTTATAAGATGTTTTCAAGCTGCGAATGGATATTTTAAAAGAAAGCACCAGTGCAAAAAGAAGACTAGTAACATATTCATTTTTTTTTTCTGCCTATATGAGAGATCCTGCTGACCTATCCAGGTTTTAAAAAGGCTGAACAAGTTTGTGTCAATCAAGATCATTCTTGTGATAAAGATAAGTTTTATTTAAAGGGTAGAGGAAATCATATTTTTTTTAGGACGATTTGTTTTCTGCCATTACAGTGACCTCTATCCACCCCCCTTTCTGTAGAAAATTTTAAGTTAAACATATTTTAGTCACCTCGTTTCTAGCACGGAGACACCACCATTACAGTTGCCAACTCCTCCTCCTCCTTCATTAGTAATCATACTGACGTTTTCCATGTTCTCGCCCAATCCAATGCTTCTCGTAGAGAATCATTGTGGATAAGAAACACGTGCGCAGCAAGTTCTTCCCTCTTTAATTCAATGCACTTTATGAGAGGCATCAGAGGAGGTGATAACAGTCTGACTCAGGAAGACAGTCTCTAGAGGTGTGTTTAGCTCTGCAATGGAAACATTATTGTATCTACTAATCGGCAATGTTTTAAATTACAGGGACACTGCACCCAGACCACTTCACTGAGATTAACTAGTCAGGGTGTCTATATGTTTTGGATCAAGTTGCACATAAACACGTATGGTTCCTTTTTCTTACCTGTTGGAAGTGGAAATAAGGAATGGAAATTTCAGTTCAATACCTTTTACATTTTGGCTTTTAATTTCTTAATTTAAAATATTCTGACCTTAAAGATAGTGTTTCTATGCTTGGACTCTGAAAACTGGCTGGGCAAATTACATGCATTTTCTGCCAGGATAGTGTCCCTTCACTCCAGCCAATGAGATTGCTCTCGGAAAATGTTGACAAAAATATTTCACTTATAAAACAAAGTAGAAACGATTATATTGCATAAAAGCTAAATATAACAACCATTATAAACATTGTGACAAGAAAAACAAACTTCATTGTTGATGGATAAATATTATACAAGCAGATTGAGAACATATTGTGTACAATTTGCCACCCGATCTCACCATGACATTTTATGCCCAGGACGTATTATAGTTGGTTATATTATGCTTTCTGTAAAGATTACGATGTTCATTTATAACGAAAAGTCAATAAAGGAGATGAGAATCTAGTCCCTGGAGCAAAGTACGCATGATTAAAAATATGATTTATGAACGCTAAGAGCACAGGTTTCACATAATTCATTATATTGATATATGATTATATCTCGCATTGCTTAAAAATAATTAAAAACCTCTAGCATGTTTACTGATGCAGTGTCACACTGGGAACTCCTAGCCCTTTCTTTGTGAGTTTTATGTCTGTGATATCGATGGTAAGTGTTGAAAGCTGTAGGGGTTATCAGCCGCTAAACATGACACTTCTCTCCCTTATAGATGGACAATTCTATCTCCTCTAAAACACCTAGGTTACACCAATATATGTATTTTAATGTGTTTTTTAACCCCTTAAGGACCAAACATCTGGAATAAAAGGGAATCATGACATATCACACATGTCATGTGTCCTTAAGGGGTTAAATGTGTGTAAGCCCTGGATATAAGTTTGTGTACACTCATCTTATTCCGTGTCTGTCTTTTTACCACTTTACAGATTAATGAGCTCCCGACGTTATTACTTTGAACTACTTCACAAGCAAGACGATCGAGGTTCTGACCATGTGGAAGTTGCTGTGAGTGAGCAGGCTCATGGCTTTAAGTGACGTGTGGGAGGTTTTATTAGTGAAGATACTTGTTCAGAAAGGGAACATTATGCTTTGCTACAAAATGAAACCAATTATGCGTAAAAGACATTGGTGCTCCCAATATCCCATCATGCAGGGAGGACATATTATTATTATTATTATTATTTATATAGTGCCATCAGATTCTGTAGCGCTGTACAATGAGGCAGTGTTCCGAAATGCTGTGTTCATGTTTTCTAATTTGGGACGAATGTAATGGGAATGTGGCAGAAAGTTTTAAGGGCTAGGGAAAAAGTTGTAATACACGGTGTAAACGTTACTTTATGCTTATACTGCTTTAGATGTTTACTAGACGTTACTGCTAATAGTTACACAGCTTGATCCTGAAGCTACCAATATGATATCATATAAAATGGAGGGGTTTAAAATAAATTTCATGGAAGAATAATAATGCACATCAATCATAGTATGCTATTATACAATACTTTACAGTAGTGATCTGATCACCTCCTCTCAATCTAAATGATTGGTGGAGTAGGGTACATATATATTTATGTATATTTTTAGCGGACGTTAATGCCCGTAATATGAGCCCACATATATACGATAAAGGTTACCAGATGTAAAGATATATATCTTTTTTTTCATAATTGTGATTTTGCTGCAAACAAAACCTTAAATGGTAAGCAACAGCAAAGGGTAAAAACTACAGACATCACAGAAGCCAAATCCATGCCCCCACAAACAAAGACCTCTTTACAAAAAGGAAATGATTGGGGTCCAGCGTTCCCAGATGTAATGCTATTCGGTACCCAATGTTCCCTTTCTAGGGGAGCCACAAATTTAATTACTAGCTTCTGCCTTTCCTCGCTCTGCACTGGCTTTTTTTCTGTTTTTGTTTTTGAACTTTTTGAGGGCATAGACAGGAGTTAACGTTACTAACATGGGAATCTGTGGGACCCCTTTAAAATATTTAATTCTATTTTGTAATTTGTGTGTGTTTTCATAGTAAATAATTTGAAAAGATTGTACAACAATATTAACTTGATGCCAAAGTATCTGACAATTTGCCTTCCTTTTTTATCTTTATTTCACCAAATACAGGCATTAAATCAGAGTATATCCGATTTATAAATGCAACTCTCCCACAAACATTCACACTTGCCACTTTTTCTAACCTGCTTCTACTAAGGGAGATCTTTAAAAAGTGTCTACTGTCCTAATTTAGAGAACAGATGTATGGGCACACACAGGATGTCCAAAATGCAGACTTTAGTGGAAAGCAATGTTTTGGCTCACACAAGAGCCTTTCTCAAGCCACCTTTTGTGTGAGCTGAAACGTTGGCATTCCACTCAAATAAAGTCTGCATTTTGCCATCCAGTGAATGCCCGGACATGTGTTCTCTACGTTTGGTATATTTTGAAGGATTTGCTGTTTCCCTGGTCCGTGTGGTGCCATAGTTTGGATCTTCTCAAGAAATGGTGTGTGCTGTTCCTGTTTTGTATTTTGAACAACCTCTTGTTCCTGTCAATATTTCTAAGAGTTGGTCTCAATTGTTCCTAAAATCTCCCCTTTATAATCTAGTAAAGCGCTATATAAATGCCAATAATAATTACAATATTTGTTAATTTAATTTTTAACAGTGGCGTTTAGCTCTCCCAGGCACGAAATTTGAAATTGTGGACTCTCCTTACCTGTCCTTATACACAGGTAACCTACTGCCACTTTTTTCCAGATTGGATGTGAATAGATCTGTCATTATGTCTACCTCACTGTTTTTTAAATAATTGCATTACTAAATATATCTTTGTCAGACGAGACTCCACACAAGATGAACGATGTATCCCACATACCACAGACCCTCTCCAGACGTGGCAATCACCCCTGGGGGGTGGATAATGAGGAGCCTCCAGAAGATGTACTGCGGCAGGACCCAAGGGACTATTTTTTTATGAGTGAGCAAAATAAGTGATTTTGAAGATAAAAAGGACATGCATCATTTTGAGACAGCAGTCTCATTCAAAGTTTTAGCTTTCAATGAGACTGTTGCCTCACTCTGCTGGGTGGAAAAGCAGGTAGATGGGTTTTTTTGTTGTTTTTTTTTTCATATTTACCTTCTTATTCTTTCTAATGCTTTCCAGGAGGGACATTGATCTAACCAACCAGTGTTGTATCCATAGGAATGTTGAGAAAGTGCATTGGGCATGCTTGACAGATTGTACATGTGGAGTTGGAAAATCTTTTCACCTGTGCACACTGTGACCCCTGGCCGGGGTCACTAATACAGCTGCCAGTGCTGCCGTATGGTAGTGCCCCCTGCCTGTATGCACTATAGGTGCTGCATCTCATTTACCGGGTTATAATGTTTGGAGAACTCTGTCCTTTCCCATGGAGGTCCTGTTCCACATCTCTATGCTGCTTGGACTAATGAGAAATTAGCCACATCTCCAGTGGGGGCCGGACTCTTTTTTTAGTGTTCAAATACTCCAAAATAAATGGAGGGACTGCACCAGGTGACCCCAGGCTCTATAACCAATGACATACAGTGGTTAGAATGCAACAGTGTCCCTGGAGAGAGAAATGCAAATTGTCTGATATGATTTTAAAAATAATGCTCCTTAATAAATGTAGCATTAGATCAGTTATTCCCAACCCACTTCTTAAGGCTCCTCATTGTCGGCAAACCCATTGGTCATTATAAGAAACGCCTGACTCTTGGACTGTTTGTGATTGGTGAGGACTGAGTTGGGAACTAAAGTTTTAAATCAGAGCGTCTTGTTGGGGCGGTTACTTGACATATATTTTATATTTTGCCTTGTTTCTCATGGGCTCTGTTCTCCTTTCCAGCTCCTATGATTGAAGAATCCAAAGTGGAAAATGTGCTTGTGCCTTGTGCATATAACCCCACATACGTAGTGAAGGATTTCCCCATTGCACGATACCAAGGACTGCAATTTGTGAGTACTTGCTCTTTCTGTAGCCACTTTTTAGTGCTATATATACCGTATATACTTGAGTATAAGTCGACCCGAATATAAGCCGAGGCCCCTAATTTTACCACAAAAAAACGGGAAAACTTATTGACTCGAGTATAAGACTAGGGTGGGAAATGCAGCAGCTACTGGTAAATTTCTTAATAAAATTAGATCCCAATAAAATTACATTAATTGAATATTTATTTACAGTGTGTGTATATAATGAATGCAGTGTGTATATAATGCAGTGTGTGTTTGGATGAATGTAGTGTGTATATAATGAATGCAGTGTGTGTGTGTGTATAATGCAGTGTGTATATAATGAATGCAGTGTGTGTTTGTGTGAATGCAGTGTGTGTATATAACGCAGTGTGTGTTTGTATGAATGCAGTGTGTGTGTGTATATAATGCAGTGTGTATATAATGCAGTGTGTGTTTGTGTGAATGCAGTGTGTGTGTATATAACGCAGTGTGTGTTTGTATGAATGCAGTGTGTGTGTATATAATGCAGTGTGTGTGTATATATTGCAGTGTGTGTGTATATATTGCAGTGTGTGTGTATATAATGCAGTGTGTGTTTGTGTGAATGCAGTGTGTGTATATAATGCAGTGTGTGTTTGTGTAGTGTGTGTAAACTGGGTGAGGGGAGGGCATTTTTATTTAATTTTTTTTATTTTAATATTATAATTATATTTTAATATTATTATTATTTTATTATTATTTTATTTAAATATTTGTATTATTTTTTATTTTTATTTTTTTTGTCCCCCCTCCGTGCTTGTTGCCTGGCCAGGGAGGGGGGCTATGTGAATCCCTGGTGGTGCAATGGATGGGCTGAGCAGTGGGGGGGCTGGCAGCGAGCTGTTACTTACCTTCCTGCAGCTCCTGTCAGCTCCCTTCTCCTCCGTGCAGCTCCCCTGTCAGCTCTGTTCTGCTCCCAGTGTAAACCTCGCGGTCTGTGTGCCGCGCAGAGCGTTGCCACGGTAACCCGTGGCAACGCTCTGACGGCCGCGGATGTCGCCAGATTTACACTGGGAGCAGAACGGAGCTGACAGGGGAGCTGCACGGAGGAGAAGGGAGCTGACAGGAGCTGCAGGAAGGTAAGTAACAGCTCTCTGCCAGCCCCCAACAGGACCGCCGGGCTTGCAATGAGCCCGGCGGTCCTGGTCTGTATTATGGCAATGTAAATTGCCATAATACAGACATTGACTCGAGTATAAGCCGAGTGGGGGTTTTTCAGCACAAAAACTGTGCCGAAAAACTCTGCTTATACTCGATTATATACGGTAGGTTTATATTTTTATTTAATGTGCACACACAGGTTGTGGAAAGGTGGCGCTATAAAATTATAATGTTAAAGTGAATTTAGCTGCTATACACTCTGTGGGTACTCCTAAAAACCCAACATACATAGAAATCACCAAAAAACAACAGAGGAAAATTTCGGATTTATCAGGTATCTATCCCTTTAAACCCTCAATTTCCATGAGTGAAGCGCTTCAGTGTAAATTTAGAAGTTGTGAATATATGTATGTAGTGCCAAGAAGCACTTACCATCTATACAATGCTTGTATTCCCGTGTATATATATAGGGAAAAGAAAAACAAATATATACAAATAATAGTGCAATGTCTAGAAAATTAATTGTTTAATTATATATGTGAGTTAGAATGTAAATTAACTCACATTTTTTAAAACCTTTTACAGTGATAAGGCTCTAAACTTCCAAGCGTCTGTGTCTTTTGGGTAGATCACACAACCCCTCTCTCTCAGTGATGGAACGTCTGTTGTTCTCCAGAGTGTGTTAAGATAAAACAGAGAAAAAACGTCCAAACTAAGTGTAGTATTTAAAATACCAATGTGTATCAGTGTGGGTAAAATCCAGAAAAGTGCTCACCTTATTTAGAGCCTTTTTATAACTGGCTTTAAGTATGTAGGTTCAGTGCCAGTTTATAGGGTGACACTATCCCTTTCTTGAATCACTTGTGCAGGATGCAGGAAGTGTAATATATAACAAATATGTTTATTATCAATATTAAAATGTATACAGACTATTTATAAAAACAAAAAAAGGATATATAAAAACATATAAGTAATACTAATGTATTAAGTGGTCTGGCATGGATCCACTTGCAGCCAAAACGCGTTTCACCGAAAATCGGCTTCCTCAGTCAGCTTCAGGACGTCTTCTGTCTTCTATTGCTTTTAAATCTTTGTTTGCCCGCGAAAAGTTCTCTTTTTGCCGGTCCGTAATGATTTACTGTGATGCGCCCAAAACAGCGTCGCGTCACTTCCGGTTTGTTCTTACTACATCTCCCATCGTTCATTGCGTTCGTAAGTGTCACTTCCGGTATAAACCGCTATGGTGATGGGTAATAGAGTCCTTAGTATCGTCGCTTTTCAGTTCATGCTCCTGTTCGTATCGGGCTCAAAATAAAGAGCCGAAATAGCAGGGAAAAATGTCAAGAGGGCAAGAAGTATATGTCAATACACAGTATTCCATATATGGATTTCACAATTAAAATTAAAACAATATATACCATATATCTTGTGAACAGTACATATTTCTACACTTAGTGAACTTTTCTATAAATGATTCTTTTCATAATAAAGACAAGAAAGAAAAAAGGGGGTGGGGGGGACAGTAAAAGTGTTTTTGGTGGACTTTATATTCAGGGTTTTAAGTTGTATACAATAAACATTTAAAAAGTGGTATACACTCTAAGTTTCACTTAAAACATTTTTAATTGAAATTGCAAACTTATGCATTAGTCCCAAAATTATGGCAGATTGAGTTTATAATAACTTAAAATAGTTTTAATGTCTCTTGCAGTTAGTGAATCCTGTCCTTTAATATAATGTAATTTAAAAAATTAGGATTAGAAATAGAAAATGTATAGAAAGTGAATACTTTCTACTGTAAATAAAAAATAAAATAAAAAATATATATATATGAGGTTAAAATGAAATTCAAAAAATAAAATAAAAATAATAAAAATAAAAAATAATAAAAATAAAATTAAACTTAAAAATAACTATAGAAAAATAAGAATGAAAATTAAATTGAATTAAAGTAATAGAAATAAGAAATAAAAAATAAAAATGAAAGTAAATATGAATACGCAAAAAACAATAAAGATAAAATTAGTAACGAATGCAGTACAAAAAGATGAGATAAAAATAAAAATAATAATAGAAATAAAATAAATTACTGATTAGAATGTATATATGTATATAATAATCGATTATAAAAAATGACATAATTCAAAATCTGCATTAAGACCTAAGGGGGCTAAGGTGTTTAAATTAAAAATCCATTTAGTTTCGATTTTTCCTAACTTCCTTATTTCATCCTCCCCTCTCCAATTTAGTGTGACTTTTTGGATAGCATAAAATTCTAAAAATTGTGGATCTTTGTTATGTACTAGTCTGAAGTGATCTGAAACACTATGTTTTTCGAAACCGTTTCTTATATTACGTACATGTTCGTTTATTCTTACGTTTAAGGGGCGTTTTGTTCTTCCTACATAAAGAAGATTGCAGGAACATTTCAGTAAATAGATGACTCTTTTTGAAAAGCATGTAGTCATTTCATGTATTTTATATTTCCTTTCCCTTTTAGAATCGTAGAATTCTGTGATGTGTCTTTTCTCATTCTTTGTACTTCTACAGGCTAGACACTGTCCACAACCAAAGAAACCCTTATTCTGAAAAAAAGGAGTAGGTGTCTGGTGTCTTATGTGATTCCGTACCAATTTCTGTTTCAAGTTGGGAGCTCCTCTGTAAATAAATTTCGGTTTTTCTGGCAATATAGAGTATAACATTGGATCGTTCCTTAAAATGGGCCAGTGCCTATTTATAATTTGTTTTATTCTCTGGCTCTCTTGATTAAAATTACAGATGAAAGGTAAAATATTTTGTTCATTTTTTTTCTTTAGATTTGTATTTTAACAATGAGGATCTCTCCATGGTTTCTACTTCTTTTATAGTACTCATAAGGGAATTTTCCTTATACCCTTTCTCCATGAATTGATTTTTAATTCTATTAGCTTGGGCCTTAAAAGTGCTTTGGTCAGTGCAATTCCTACGGATTCTCATTAGTTGTGCTTTTGGGATGTTTCTCAACCAAGGAGAAAAATGGCAACTATTTAGAAAGATATAGTTGTTAACGTCTACCTGTTTAAAAAAGGTTTTTGTCTTAATGTGGTTGTCTTCAATAAAAATCGTAAGGTCTAGAAAATTGACACTTTCTGTGCTGTATTCCGTGGTTAATTTTACTCCCCAATCGTTTGAATTTAAAAAAGCTAAAAATGTCTTGAGTGAATCCTCTGAACCATTCCAAATAAAAAATATGTCGTCTATGTACCGCTTATAAGAGACCAGGTTCGCTCTCCAGTTTGTATTCTCATTGATATATTCTTCTTCCTAAAATGCCATGAATAAATTGGCATAGCTGGGAGCGAACCTGGTTCCCATAGCGATACCTACTTTTTGTAGAAAAAACTCATCATTAAACCAAAAATAATTGTTACTTAGAATTAATTCTATTCCTTCAATTAGAAAATTTATTTGTTCTTCTGGATAAAAATTTTCTTTTCTTAGAAGGGAGTTGGTAGCTTCTATACCTTTAGTGTGTGAGATAATTGTATAGAGGGAACTGACATCCGCTGTAACTAAAATATAGTTTGAATTCCATTTTATGTTTTGTAATACCTGGATAATATTTAAAGTGTCTTTTAGATAATTCGGGGTTTTTTGAACAATGGGTTGTAAACATCTGTCTAAGTACTCTGATAATCTACTGGATACAGAGTCGATCCCCGAGACTATTGGTCTACCTGGGGGATTCACAAGGTTTTTATGGATCTTTGGGAGATGGTAGAATACTGGAATTTTTGTTTTTTTGACGTTGAGGTATTTATACTCCCTATCGTTTAGTATTTCTGCTTCTTTTCCTCTTAACAATAAGTCATCAAATTTCTTTTTTATATTAGCAGTTGGATCACTTGGCAACTTTTTGTATGTTTCTAAATCCTCTACCAATCTAAGTCCTTCTCGTAGATAATCCTCTGTTCGCATCACTACAATGCCCCCACCCTTATCTGCTGGTTTAATGACATTGTTTTTGTCTTTCTGAAGTGTCTTAAGTGCTAACCATTCTTCCTTATTGAGATTCATGTGTTTTTTGTCTCTTGGTTTAATTTTATCTATTTCTTGCATCACTGCTTTTTCAAATGCAACCATCTCTTTAGATATGAAATTGTTTGGAAAAAATGTAGATTTTTCTTTGAGGTCGGTATGTTTATATTTTGAAATTGAAGGTTGATATATTGGTTTTTCTGTCCTCATAAAGCATTTCTTTAAACATAACTGTCTTTTATATCTGTTTAAATCTATGAATATGTCAAATTTGTTAAGCGGTTGCGTAGGTACAAATTTCAACCCCTTATTTAGAATATTCTGCTGTGACCTTGTTAGAGGATTCCCTGTTAAATTAAAAATGATAGATTGAGTGTGTGTGGTTATTTTTTTTATCTTTTTAAGTGTCTATCCTCCCCGTGTTCCCATCCTCTTAAGTTCCTTTGTCTTTTGGGGGGGGGGGTATGTTTGGGTGGGGATATATCTTGGGGGGATTGAACCGCTTTGTACTTCCCCTTTTGACGTCCCTCCTGAAAAAAATCCTCCTCATCTTGTCTATCCGATAAAGTGTTGAATCTATTCATAGTGAAAATATGATTTCCCTGTGTCTCCTTCCTATTTCTTGTGAGAATCGGTGATCTTTCCCCTCCTCTCTTTCCCTGTTCGTGTCTCTCTTTCATTTTAGTCGGTATGTCTTTCGTGAATCTTGTTTGTGGTGTGGGAAATCTTAAATGTGGTGATCTATCTCTAGAGCGATATCTCCTATCTCGTGAGTCTCCTCGTTTCTGATGGGAATGTGCCCAATTTGTGTCCTGTTTATTTCCCCATCTAGCTGTGTATGGATATTTTTCTTTCTCTTGTTTTTGTGAAAAATTTCTGTTGTAGTAGTTATTCAAATTCTCATTATTTCGTGTGTCTGTATATTTGTTTCTAGATGCATAAGTAAACACCTGATTATTGTCATAATCATATCTGTCTCTTTTGTATTTCTTTCTTTTTATGTTTATTGTTTCTATCTCCGTTTTGTCTATTTGTTTCTGAATGGTCCCAGTAATGGTCTCATACTCCTCAGGGGATGTATGGTTCTGGAGTTGGATTTGTGTATCATTTATATCTTTGTCTAATTTTTGTAGAGTGGCTTTCCTCCTCTTAATTATCATTTTCATTGTTGTAAAAGAAAATGTCTCTAACATTTCTTGCCATTCTCCCATAAAGTCTTCCTCTCCTTTGTCAAATGTGGGATACTTATTATATCTAAGACCTCTAGGAGTGATTTTTTTCTTTTAAATGCTTTTCTAAAGTCGCTACTTCCCAGGTTATACGAACTTCTTCATAGACTTAGTCAATTTGTATTGACATTCTCTAAAGTCATAGGTGTTGGTCTGGGGCTGGGAGTTATGGTTTAAAACAGGGGTATCAAACATAGTGTCTATATTGGTACAATAATTTTTTCTTCTTTCAAAAAGTGACATATTATTAGCTTCCTCCACACCAATAAGGAGTAAAATATACAAAGAAATTGAATGTGCACACACAGGTTGTGGAAAGGTGGCGCTATAAAATTATAATGTTAAAGTGAATTTAGCTGCTATACACTCTGTGGGTACTCCTAAAAACCCAACATACATAGAAATCACCAAAAAACAACAGAGGAAAATTTCGGATTTATCAGGTATCTATCCCTTTAAACCCTCAATTTCCATGAGTGAAGCGCTTCAGTGTAAATTTAGAAGTTGTGAATATATGTATGTAGTGCCAAGAAGCACTTACCATCTATACAATGCTTGTATTCCCGTGTATATATATAGGGAAAAGAAAAACAAATATATACAAATAATAGTGCAATATGTCTAGAAAATTAATTGTTTAATTATATATGTGAGTTAGAATGTAAATTAACTCACATTTTTTAGAGCCTTTTACAGTGATAAGGCTCTAAACTTCCAAGCGTCTGTGTCTTTTGGGTAGATCAAACAACCCCTCTCTCTCAGTGATGGAACGTCTGTTGTTCTCCAGAGTGTGTTAAGATAAAACAGAGAAAAAAACGTCCAAACTAAGTGTAGTATTTAAAATACCAATGTGTATCAGTGTGGGTAAAATCCAGAAAAGTGCTCACCTTATTTAGAGCCTTTTTATAACTGGCTTTAAGTATGTAGGTTCAGTGCCAGTTTATAGGGTGACACTATCCCTTTCTTGAATCACTTGTGCAGGATGCAGGAAGTGTAATATATAACAAATATGTTTATTATCAATATTAAAATGTATACAGACTATTTATAAAAACAAAAAAAGGATATATAAAAACATATAAGTAATACTAATGTATTAAGTGGTCTGGCATGGATCCACTTGCAGCCAAAACGCGTTTCACCGAAAATCGGCTTCCTCAGTCAGCTTCAGGACGTCTTCTGTCTTCTATTGCTTTTAAATCTTTGTTTGCCCGCCAAAAGTTCTCTTTTTGCCGGTCCGTAATGATTTACCGTGACGCGCCCAAAACAGCGTCGCGTCACTTCCGGTTTGTTCTTACTACATCTCCCATCGTTCATTGCGTTCGTAAGTGTCACTTCCGGTATAAACCGCTATGGTGATGGGTAATAGAGTCCTTAGTATCGTCGCTTTTCAGTTCATGCTCCTGTTCGTATCAGGCTCAAAATAAAGAGCTGAAATAGCAGGGAAAAGTGTCAAGAGGGCAAGAAGTATATGTCAATACACAGTATTCCATACTCAATCTGCCATAATTTTGGGACTAATGCATAAGTTTGCAATTTCAATTAAAAATGTTTTAAGTGAAACTTAGAGTGTATACCACTTTTTAATGTTTATTGTATACAACTTAAAACCCTGAATATAAAGTCCACCAAAAACACTTTTACTGTCCCCCCCACCCCCTTTTTTCTTTCTTGTCTTTATTATGAAAAGAATCATTTATAGAAAAGTTCACTAAGTGTAGAAATATGTACTGTTCACAAGATATATGGTATATATTATTTTAATTTTAATTGTGAAATCCATATATGGAATACTGTGTATTGACATATACTTCTTGCCCTCTTGACACTTTTCCCTTCTATTTCGGCTCTTTATTTTGAGCCTGATACGAACAGGAGCATGAACTGAAAAGCGACGATACTAAGGACTCTATTACCCATCACCATAGCGGTTTATACCGGAAGTGACACTTACGAACGCAATGAACGATGGGAGATGTAGTAAGAACAAACCGGAAGTGACGCGACGCTGTTTTGGGCGCGTCACGGTAAATCATTACGGACCGGCAAAAAGAGAACTTTTGGCGGGCAAACAAAGATTTAAAAGCAATAGAAGACAGAAGACGTCCTGAAGCTGACTGAGGAAGCTGATTTTCGGTGAAACGCGTTTTGGCTGCAAGTGGATCCATGCCAGACCACTTAATACATTAGTATTACTTATATGTTTTTATATATCCTTTTTTTGTTTTTATAAATAGTCTGTATACATTTTAATATTGATAATAAACATATTTGTTATATATTACACTTCCTGCATCCTGCACAAGTGATTCAAGAAAGGGATAGTGTCACCCTATAAACTGACACTGAACCTACATACTTAAAGCCAGTTATAAAAAGGCTCTAAATAAGGTGAGCACTTTTCTGGATTTTACCCACACTGATACACATTGGTATTTTAAATACTACACTTAGTTTGGACGTTTTTTTCTCTGTTTTATCTTAACACACTCTGGAGAACAACAGACGTTCCATCACTGAGAGAGAGGGGTTGTTTGATCTACCCAAAAGACACAGACGCTTGGAAGTTTAGAGCCTTATCACTGTAAAAGGCTCTAAAAAATGTGAGTTAATTTACATTCTAACTCACATATATAATTAAACAATTAATTTTCTAGACATATTGCACTATTATTTGTATATATTTGTTTTTCTTTTCCCTATATATATATACACGGGAATACAAGCATTGTATAGATGGTAAGTGCTTCTTGGCACTACATACATATATTCACAACTTCTTATATTTTTATTTATCTAGTGCTTGCAACATGCTTAACGACGGGTGATCAAATACAGGTCGTAAATAGAGTGCCTACTTTATAGCTAATTCTGCACTAAACATCTATAATGTTCTTTATTCTCTCTTTTACAGGGTTATGAGGTCATTCAGATTGCTAAAGCCGGGCATTGTTCATGCTCTTCAACCTAAATGGGCCTGACTTTACTCTGGATTGTAGCCGCACTGAGCGCCATTAGACGGTTAAAATCCAGGACTGGATGCTTTAAATCTGGGCCCAAATTTGAAAAAAAAATCTGAATTATTTGCCCGGTGGCAGTACCACCAACCACTGGGCAAATCTTAAAATATCCCTTGGCAGTGCAAGGGTTATTTATCTGGCTGCTTGCAAGCTAAACTCTAGTTTTCCAATAGTTTTTATTAATAAATACTTGTTGTTTTTTGTTTATTTCAATTCTTATTTGTAATAAAATTTTCCATTATTTAAAAAATAGGGCCAAAATCCACAGGTCTCAGCAAAATTAGACCCACAGTGCTTTTTATATTATATCTAAAACTAGCAACTGAGCAGACATTAGCCCTACCTGTCCGTCTCACCATGAGAATTGTGAGTTGGGCCATTAAAATATCTGAAGTCTTCTTTCTTGTAAATCTTCTTGTCATCCGCCCCAAAAAAGACCAAATAAAAAAATCCTTCATCGCACAATGCAAATCTTAAAAAATAAGAAACGTCCGATCACAAAAAAAAAAAAAAAAAAATCAGTCGCAAAAAAAAAAATTATATATATTTTTTGCCCATTGAAGGCTCTGTGCAAAATGAGGCTTCAAAGCAGGAAGAGCCTCTTTAATAGCTTTCCCACACTTGAATTCACAATAGAGTGCTCTGATTGGTTGGTTTGTTTGCCAACCAATCAGAGTGTTCTAATTGATATTGAATATTGAAAGCGCTCTGACAGACAAGTCTCATTTCTCTCAACACTTGCCGTGGCCAGAGGTGTGTGTATGTGTGTGTGTGTGTATATATATATCTCTATATATCTATATATAATAATTATTTTTTAACTATTTGCAGCACGAAAGATATTTGAGAAATATTGATGCAAATTCGCCAAGCCCAATATAACTCGGACAAACTTTTCATCATAAACATCTTTTTATCGTTTGCCAATAACTTATTTTCTTTAATATTTTTCTTCTTTTCTCTCTCAAGGTATACCTTACCTTTGTGTATCCCAATGACTATACCCGTCTCACTCATATGGAAACTGAAAACAAATGTTTTTATCGAGAGTCGCCGCTGTACCTGGAGAAGTAAGTTCATCTGCTCAATATTTCCTTCCGAATTCTCAGATCTGCCTTCTTGACATTTAATACTCTGACCTGTTTCTTTAAATACAATCGAGCCTCTTGCCCAAGTTAGTAAAGTATTTTCTCTCTTTACTTTCTGCATTCTCCTGATATTTGTACCACGGATATTCCACGCATAGTGCCCAACATCTAAATTTTTCTTTTTTTTGTTTAGGTTTGGATTTTACAAGTACATGAAAATGGATGATGAGGATTCTCCACAGATGCCATTCTTGTTTTTTAACCGCCCACGTATGTACAGTATATAACCCCCTTGTAATCACACTCATTTAACGGTCTCCTTAAAGCTGTCGTTTAACTTTCTATGGTTGTGCATGTTTTGTATAGACCACAGATGGATACTGCTCTTAGTCCAGTGCGGTGGCCCAGGGTTGCAGGGAAAAGTAGTTTTTACTTATGTGAACCTGCCATTTTCTTCCATAAGGTTCTCTTCAGCTCCTGGTGCTTCATCTACCAGGAGGAAATGTCGGCACTGTATTCTCGCGCATGTGTGAGTACAACGCTAGTGTCCATGGACGATCCATAGACATCGAGACGGCGAGATTCTCCCTCACTAGTGACAGCTGAGGGTTTGGCAGAGCTTGTTGGCAATAGCTCAGCCTTTTGTCAAACGTAGGAAAAATACACAAGACAAAGTAGTGGTTACTTTGTCTTATGATACCTTTTGACTGGAATTTCATTTTTTTCCCTATGAAATGTTAGTTTTGTGAGGGAAATGGGGGCATCCTGCTTAAAAGCAGAAATGTTATACCTTGACCCTAACATTTTCACTATGTGGCTTTCTAAAGCATAGAATGTGACCACAATTCTGAAAATGGAATTGAATAGGTGACAATTGAAAGCAGCTTACATTTCCATGCATGTCCAATATTTAATTGCAGTGATTCTGCCAGTGGAAACATACCGTATAGGCGGATTGGATTTCAATTCATCACAACTGGTTGTTTAATGTTTTGAGACATTTGCTATCACTCTAGCAATCATTTTCACTGAGATCCCCAATGACTTTATTAAACATTGTTGTTGCTTACACAGATGCTATGTATGTATGTGGTTCTAATGTTCTATGAATAATAACTATGTAAGAACGGTTAGAGAATTCTGAGTACAATGCACAGAAGGGCATCTGAGCAGCACCTGGATGAAAAAGCAAGACACTGTTCCTTACATTTTATTTATCCATTGTATCCTGAAAATGTTGGTGTAGGTTGGCTTCTATCCAGTCTTTCTTTTTCTATTATTTACATAACAATTTTATTTCTACACTGCTCTCTGCTTTACTGAACAGATAACTCCCTCTTTATTTGTCTCTCAATCTGTGTATCTCAACGCAGATTTCTTGGATGAAGATGATGAAGAGGAGGCATTGATAACTGGGACTCAAACCAAGCAGAAGACTAAAGAAGAAGAAATCAGAAACCATATGCCACCCAGTAGTCCGGGTCAGGAACAGACCTATAGTCCACATACTGATTCCCTAGGACTAAGTATATCCAATGGCAGTATGGATACATCAGTGCAAAGTCGGACTCTTATGTGGGCACCAAGGGACAATCTACCATCTGCACAACGTGGTCATAGGAGAAATACATTGCATCTGGGAGAAACTGCAGGAAGGAGAGGGGAGCTAGAACCCACAGTTGGGAGGTCTCAGGTCAGAGCAAATGGTGTATTGGATATGGACCCTACAACAAAAAAGATGTCTGAAACTGGAGGTGAAATGATAAAAGGAAAGTCGGAGATGATGACGAGACGTGAGCACTCAGATAACCGAAGCAGAACTAAAACTCTAGCTCATAAAGGAGTGCATGAAAGATCAGACTTGGCGGAGAAACAAAGTAGGATAGAGGTCCGGCCTAGTGAAGGATATCATTCTGAGCTCCCCACCAGAGAAGAAGCTCCAAAAGAAAAGTTAAATGACAACACAGCAAATAGGAAAGAACCAGACAAAGTTTATGTTACACGTCTTCTTTCTGGAGTTCGAAAATCCAGAAGAGTCTTCCCTGGTATGCTCTTGCCTCAACCCAAACCCCGTAAATCTTTCAGTCAACGTGACAATGCTCGGTTTGCTGCACCTTCCAAGCCTCTTCGTGGAGGTAGAATATCCAAGGCTTGGAGCCCTCCTGATACCTCTGAACTTTTCAATTGGGAAGGCCAAACAGAGGGCCCTGAAATTATTCTTCCTACCTCATCAAGTTCCCCTGGGGGGCCACAAACTCACGGCTTGTCTTCTGAAAACCCAGCAGAAGAACTGCAAGATTATAGCTATGAAGAAGCGGAACCACGGCAGCGTTGGCCTGAAGAGGCCATCGACTGGCAACGCACATTTAGTGTTGGCACAGTGGACTTTGAGATGCTAAGGTCAGACTGGAATGACCTACGCTGCAATGTGAGTGGTAACTTGCAGCTCTCAGAGGCAGAGACTGTGGATGTGGTGGCACAGTATATGGAGAAGCTGAATGAAAAGAATGGAGGGTGAGAGTCCTAAAATTTTATAAACCTCAAACCATAACTTAATTTGCTAAATGTGTGCATACCAACACTATTTAGAACAAATTGTAGGTTAAATAGTTCTAGTATTCCCCTCTAGCCATCTTCCTATGTACTTTCATTAAGCATTTATTGTTTTATCTACTTATCCACCTTTTATCTAGTGAAATCTATTCATTCTACACTGTTCTATTCATTATCTGCCATGTTTCTTTCTTACACGCACTCTTTAACGTGTTTCTTTCCCATCAGAATATACACTTTACTACGTATAATTAATGTAGAAAAGCGCCGTGATTCTGCCAGAGGAAACAGATACCTTATTGAGCTGGAGTTGGAAGAGCGAGGACATCGGAAGGTGAGACTGGCCGAATATGTGTACCTCCTGATTCATCGTGGGGCAGGTAGTGACAGTGATGAAAGCCCACCAGCAGAAACCCCTGAAATAACTCCCAGCCCACAACTTCCAATCTACACTAAACCAATCTTATGCAGACCGGTGAGTCTGACCTGGAATCCACGCGCCACGGTGCACTTTGTTATTCCTGGTGAGTGCGGCAAGAAGGTGGGATATATTTATGATGTGTGGTATGGTAAAGCTCATAATGGCACATGGCAACTTACATGTCCCATTGTTTGTCACCAGGTTTAGTTGTTATTGTTGATGATCAAGATTCTGATGCCTTTAAAGCTCAGTCCTCCTTAATTATAACAACTTGCAGCTCACTGTTTGCTGGCATGAATGAGATGACTTCCCTGGGGACATTGTATAGATTTATTGACACTAGAATTATATGGTATGTCTATTAAAATATAAATCCAACATTCTAACACAATGAACCTCCATTATAGTTTTTGTAATATAAAAATGTCATTTTATAATACTTGTTATATATTTATCTTTTTGTTTATAATCTGTGTATCGATTGGATTTTTCTCTTTCTATGCTAAGTTTATATTATTGTTATAAATACCTTATTGACAGAATTTTATATATATATATAAATAATTTTTAATACATTGAATTGTGTATCCATGCTATTTGACCATTGACGACAATTATTATATTGTTATTCCTTTTTGTATGCATCTAATCATCTGGAATAAATACATAATAAAATAACACTACATTCTAAAAGAGAATAAACAAAGGAACCGAGCAGCACTCCTCCCTCTCTCTTTTGTTTTCTAGTGGCATAAAATACCACTCCCTATACCGTGAATCCACTTGCTCCACCTAATTATTATTTTTCATTATCAGAGTTTTCTTTTTTTTTCAGTTTACCTATCCATTCTTACTTTAATTCTTTTCTTTCTTTGTAATACTCAGCTCTTTAAATTCTTACTTACGTAATTGTTTTTCTCTCCCTGCTTAGTAAAGAACCAGGCTCGCTGGGTTCAGCAACTGATCTCGGATCTGGAATTCCTGTACATCAACACCAACGACGAGCAGTTTAATCTCATCATTGTGGACTATGATAGTGAGGATATGGAAGTTGAGCAAGCTTTGCGGCGTGCCAAGATACCAAGGTAACAGTATCGACAATATCTATTAATTGGTGTTACAATGTACTTGTGTTTTTTTTTAAATTAATTTAATAATATGCATGTGTTTATTTATTAGATTATCCATGTCTCTGATTATAGTGAGGGATGTTCTAGTGTAATTGAAGGAATGGAGTCTTTATAAGCGGTGTCTGAAAATGCATAGATTTATAAATATTAAAATTCCCACAAGTCAGAGGAGATGTCTGGGAGATTTGATGTCCAGTGGATTGTTCAGTAGAGGAACTGGTTCTGTAAAATCCAGAATGTGGAATTTGTGAGGTGTCCTTCCTTGTTCCAGATAGAGATGAATATTGTACAAATTTTTTTTAAATCTCATTTTCAATACCAAGTTAGATTATACTGTTTGCATCCTAACATGAGAAATGACTGACGTCGTTAATGTATAATAATAACGATAAAAATAAGTTATCTTGGAATTCCAGTCCGGAATTCACATTTTTTTCATACATCTGATGCATTATTATAAAACTGTACATGGGGGGCGCCTGGGCCTGTGGGGGTGCGCTGTGGGCCTGCTCTGGTGGGAGGGGCGGGTGCTGTGGGGGCCTGCTCTTGTGGGAGGGGCAGGGGTGCTGTGGGGGCATGCTCTGGTGGGAGGAGGGGCCTGGGTGCTGTGTGCTCCTTCTTTGGTGGGAGTGGGGTGCTTTGGGGTCCTGCTCTAGTGTCTAGTAGGAGGGGGGTGCTATGGAGGCACCTGTTCTGGTGGGAGGGTGGTTTGGCCTATGATATTGCTTTCCTTTGCTGTTTTTCTGCTTAAAATACTATTAATTATTACTAATTAATAATTACTACAATTACTTTGGCTCTTTCTCAGTTATCAGTACCTAAAGAGAAGTGGGAATTTTGAGCGAGCTGCCGGTTTGCAAGCGGGAGTGGATACTATAAAGGTGAGTTAAACATCCATTTGACTGTGAGTTCTATGTTGGAGGTGACTGCCTTCTCTGCTAATTGCTGTGTGCTATTTTTATTTTGTGCAGGACAATCATAGCATTGTGTTTCTGTGTGATCTACACATACACTTTCCTCTCTCGGTGTTGGACAGTGTGAGGAAGCATTGTGTGGAAGGGCGGCTGGCCTTTGCTCCCATTGTAATGAGGTTAAGCTGTGGAAGCTCCCCGCTACATCCCCGTGGTGAGTATTCAATATAAGCTGTTCCAACATAGTACAAATTTTACCATTATTGTAAAAACGTTTTTATAATCCAGGTTTTTGTTTTTTTCCTCTTTGACTACTTAAAATCTTTTATTCTTTCAGGATACTGGGAGGTTAATGGATTTGGTCTTTTTGGGATTTACAAGTCAGATTTTGATCGAATCGGAGGCATGAACACAGAGGAATTCAAGGACCGCTGGGGAGGGGAGGATTGGGAGCTGCTGGACAGGTGAGAAAATATATAAATAACACACACACATACGCATGCTTATTCACAAGCAAACTAGTACACAAGTCTCCCAAACAAACTCCGTCAGTTGGCACTTTTGGGAGATTTCTAAAAATGTTGTGTTCTAAACAACAGAGCACATTACTAAACGTGGTGCAATTACCATGGAAACTAGTGGCAGCAGGCAAATTCTATTATCCTTTTGCCTTAATTCACTACTTTTCATGATACTTTGATAAATCTACAGTATTCCTTTAACTTGAACCGTTTAAACCCAACATTTTGCTTTTGAGTGAAAAGCTAATTCTGTGTCAATCACAGCCCATTAGTTGAAAACATGTGCTAGCCAATTGGCTAATACCATCAGCCAATGAGCAGTGACTATCGGCATGTACGCTGATAGTGGATGTGATTCTCTCACTCCTGCAGTGAGGACATCTTTTAAGTTGAAATTGTTGAATGCTTTTGGTTCCACTATTTTCATTAAATGTGGAAACAGGATAGATTGAAAGCCACAAGTACGTTAAAATAAATAAATAAATAAATAAATACAAAAAGTGTAAATCAAGACATAATTTATTTTTTTTTCCTTTAAACTTTTATGCTCTTGACCTTACTACGATTTATGGTCTGTTTTATCTCTTTATATCACCAACATATTCAACCTATCGTTCCTGTAAGTTTTCTTGTAATTGTCCTATTTATAGTTAAATCCCCCCTGTAATAAAATGTAAAGTGCTATGGCATCTGTTGGCGCTATATAAATGGCGATAATAATCTTCACCTTGATGATTCCTTTAGAAATTTAGAGACATTCCACTGCCCAAATACAAAAAAAAAAAAGAAAATCACAGTTTAGTAGACAAATTACTAATGAAAACTTGCAAGCGTTAAATTGTGTGGTTCGGAAATTCAGTATCATATTCAAAATATTTATTAATCAAGCATTTACTGATCCTAAAGTAGGCTTATTGTGTTTGACAGCAAAAAGCAGGAATGCTCTACCAAACAGTAAGTCCCTGTCACCTAAACACTAAGTGCATATCTATTAAACAGCGGGAATTGTCACCTAAACACTGAGTGTATATCTATTAAACAGGACTGTCACCTAAACACTGAGTGTATATCTATTAAACAGCGGGAATTGTCACCTAAACACTGAGTGTATATCTATTAAACAGCGGGAATTGTCACCTAAACACTGAGTGTATATCTATTAAACAGGACTGTCACCTAAACACTGAGTGTATATCTATTAAACAGCGGGAATTGTCACCTAAACACTGAGTGTATATCTATTAAACAGGACTGTCACCTAAACACTGAGTGTATATCTATTAAGCAGCGGGAATTGTCACCTAAACACTGAGTGTATATCTATTAAACAGCGGGAATTGTCACCTAAACACTGAGTGTATATCTATTAAACAGCGGGAATTGTCACCTAAACACTGAGTTCATATCTATTAAACAGCGGGAATTGTCACCTAAACACAGAGTGCATATCTACCATCAGCGGGGACTGTCACCGAAACACTGAGTGCATATTTACCATCAGCGGGGACTGTCACCGAAACACTGAGTGTATATCTCTTAAACAGTTTAGGTGACAGTCACCTAAATACTGAGTGTATATCTATTAAACAGCGGGAATTGTCACCTAAACACTGAGTTCATATCTATTAAACAGCGGGAATTGTCACCTAAACACTGAGTGTATATCTATTAAACAGCGGGGACTGTCACCGAAACACTGAGTGTATATCTATTAAACAGCGGGGACTGTCACCGAAACACTGAGTGTATATCTATTACACAGCGGGTATTGTCAACTAAACACAGAGTGTAAATCTATTAAACAGCGGGAATTGTCACCTAAACACAGAGTGCATATCTACCATCAGCGGGGACTGTCACCGAAACACTGAGTGCATATTTACCATCAGCGGGGACTGTCACCGAAACACTGAGTGTATATCTCTTAAACAGTTTAGGTGACAGTCACCTAAATACTGAGTGTATATCTATTAAACAGCGGGAATTGTCACCTAAACACTGAGTTCATATCTATTAAACAGCGGGAATTGTCACCTAAACACTGAGTGTATATCTATTAAACAGCGGGGACTGTCACCGAAACACTGAGTGTATATCTATTAAACAGCGGGGACTGTCACCGAAACACTGAGTGTATATCTATTACACAGCGGGTATTGTCACCTAAACACAGAGTGCATATCTACCATCAGCGGGGACTGTCACCGAAACACTGAGTGCATATTTACCATCAGCGGGGACTGTCACCGAAACACTGAGTGTATATCTCTTAAACAGTTTAGGTGACATACACCTAAAAACTGAGTGTATATCTACCGAAACACTGAGTGTATATCTATTAAACAGCGGGGACTGTCACCGAAACACTGAGTGTATATCTATTACACAGCGGGTATTGTCAACTAAACACAGAGTGTAAATCTATTAAACAGCGGGAATTGTCACCTAAACACAGAGTGCATATCTACCATCAGCGGGGACTGTCACCGAAACACTGAGTGCATATTTACCATCAGCGGGGACTGTCACCGAAACACTGAGTGTATATCTCTTAAACAGTTTAGGTGACAGTCACCTAAATACTGAGTGTATATCTATTAAACAGCGGGAATTGTCACCTAAACACTGAGTTCATATCTATTAAACAGCGGGAATTGTCACCTAAACACTGAGTGTATATCTATTAAACAGCGGGGACTGTCACCGAAACACTGAGTGTATATCTATTACACAGCGGGTATTGTCAACTAAACACAGTGTGTAAATCTATTAAACAGCGGGAATTGTCACCTAAACACAGAGTGCATATCTACCATCAGCGGGGACTGTCACCGAAACACTGAGTGCATATTTACCATCAGCGGGGACTGTCACCGAAACACTGAGTGTATATCTCTTAAACAGTTTAGGTGACATACACCTAAAAACTGAGTGTATATCTACCGAAACACTGAGTGTATATCTACCAATCAGCAAGGATTGTCACCTAAACTCCGAGTGCATATCTACCAAACAGCAGGGACTGTCACCTAAACTCCGAGTGCATATCTACCAAACAGCGGGACTGTCACCTAAACACTGAATGCATATCTAGCAAACAGCGGGGCTGTCACCTAAACACAGAGTGCATATCTAGCAAACAGCGGGGACTGTCACCTAAACACAGAGTGCATATCTAGCAAACAGCGGGGCTGTCACCTAAACACAGAGTGCATATCTAGCAAACAGCGGGGACTGTCACCTAAACACAGAGTGCATATCTAGCAAACAGCGGGGCTGTCACCTAAACACAGAGTGCATATCTAGCAAACAGCGGGGACTGTCACCTAAACACATAGTGCATATCTAGCAAACAGCGGGGCTGTCACCTAAACACAGAGTGCATATCTACCAATCAGCGGGGACTGTCACCTAAACACCGAATGCATATCTAGCAAACAGCGGGGCTGTCACCTAAACAGTGAATGCATATCTACCAATCAGCGGGGCTGTCACCTAAACACAGAGTGCATATCTATTAAACAGCGGGAATTGTCACCTAAACACTGAGTGTATATCTATTAAACAGGACTGTCACCTAAACACTGAGTGTATATCTATTAAACAGCGGGGACTGTCACCGAAACACTGAGTGTATATCTATTACACAGCGGGTATTGTCAACTAAACACAGAGTGTAAATCTATTAAACAGCGGGAATTGTCACCTAAACACAGAGTGCATATCTACCATCAGCGGGGACTGTCACCGAAACACTGAGTGCATATTTACCATCAGCGGGGACTGTCACCGAAACACTGAGTGTATATCTCTTAAACAGTTTAGGTGACAGTCACCTAAATACTGAGTGTATATCTACCGAAACACTGAGTGTATATCTACCAATCAGCAAGGACTGTCACCTAAACTCCGAGTGCATATCTACCAAACAGCGGGGACTGTCACCTAAACTCCGAGTGCATATCTACCAAACAGCGGGACTGTCACCTAAACACGGAGTGCATATCTAGCAAACAGCGGGGCTGTCACCTAAACACAGAGTGCATATCTAGCAAACAGCGGGGCTGTCACCTAAACACAGAGTGCATATCTAGCAAACAGCGGGGACTGTCACCTAAACACAGAGTGCATATCTAGCAAACAGCGGGGACTGTCACCTAAACACAGAGTGCATATCTACCAAACAGCGGGGCTGTCACCTAAACACTGAATGCATATCTAGCAAACAGCGGGGACTGTCACCTAAACACTGAGTGCATATCTACCAATCAGCGGGGCTGTCACCTAAACACAGAGTGCATATCTACCAAACAGCGGGGCTGTCACCTAAACACTGAATGCATATCTAGCAAACAGCGGGGCTGTCACCTAGACAGTGAATGCATATCTACCAATCAGCGGGGCTGTCACCTAAACACAGAGTGCATATCTAGCAAACAGCAGGGCTGTCACCTAAACAGTGGTTAATAGTGAATATCAGACTTGGGAGATTTTTTTCCCCCCAAAATCGATTCTCAATTCAGCAACACTGGAGATTTGTTTCTACTTGGCTACTTTAAAGTAAATGATGTTGCCACAATTTGCTGTGAAGAGAATTGGACCACTTTTATTTTAATGTTCCTACACCCCCGTAGCAGAGTGTGGGTAATTGTGCTGTTTTCTCAGTGCCAGAGTGAATAACAGGACAGCTTGATAGGCAAGTGAAAAGGGCTGCTTTCCAGTTGACAACAAATATCTAGAAATATTACCAAGAAACGTGATTCCAGGCCTTTCGGTTGTACATTTTGGGATCAGTTTTTGTATATTCAGTCCAGGCTTCAATAATAATACACTTAAAGTGAGACTGAAGTGCCTTTATAAAAGTGGAAAGAGGGAGGTAAAGAGCGATCATTAGGAATGGCTTCCAGCAGAAGAACAAATTAGGACTTAACTGAAATATGTTAATAGCCAAGTCTGAAATCTACATTTAATGAAAATGGAGCGTAACATGGAAACAAATAATACCTAAATTCTAGGAGATTTTCAGTTTTACTCCCAGGAAGTGACACTATAGCATTTTAAATCCAAGCCTTTGTTTCCAACTCTATATTGTTCTCCTATTTATTTAGATCCCCACAAATCTAAAAAAAACTGTAATAAAGGGTATTATTGCCTTTTTCCTCATACAGTAACCAGAAAATAGAGGTTTATGATACTCTCTTCTGTGTAGCTGCTTCATGAACACTGGCTCAAAGACCGTGTAATCTCTTTTTTAAAATCAGGTGGACAAGCATTACAGATGTTATTTGATAACGGTAATATCCGCTTATACAAGTGGATGACGTGACAATAATCAAAGTGTTATAAATCATTTAAACATGGAACTGTAATACATGGAGGAGATATCCTCAGGCGTTCAAACGTAGGCAGGCAATGTAATAGAGCAGCAGGAAATGCTAGCAGAATGCTTGGTTGTATAGGGAGAGGTATTAGCAGTAGAAAGAGGGAAGTGCTCATGCCATTGTACAGAACACTGGTGAGACCTCACTTGGAGTATTGTACACAGTACTGGAGACCGTATCTTCAGAAGGATATTGATACCTTAGAGAGGGTTCAGAGAAGGGCTACTAAACTGGTTCATGGATTGCGGGATAAAACTTACCAGGAAAGGTTAAAGGATCTTAACATGTATAGCTTGGAGGAAAGACGTGACAGGGGGGATAAATACATAAAGGGAATCAACACAGTAAAGGAGGAGACTATATTTAAAAGAAGAAAAACTACCACAACAAGAGGACATAGTCTTAAATTAGAGGGGCAAAGGTTTAAAAATATCAGGAAGTATTGGAGTAGTCTATGCATTGAATAGCCTTCCAGCTGAAGTGGTAGAGGTTAACACAGTGAAGGAGTTTAAGCATGCATGGGACAGGCATAAGGCTATCCTAACTATAAGATAAGGCCAGGGACCAATGAGCGTATTTAGAAAATAGGGCAGACTAGATTATTATTATTATTATTTTATTATTTATATGGCGCCATCAGGTTCCGTAGCGCTGTACAAAGGGTGGACTAACAAACATTTAATTGTAACCAGACACCTCGACGTACAGGAACAGAGAGGTGGAGGGCCCTGCTCAATGAGCTTACATTCTAGAGGGAGTGGGGTATAGTGACACAAAGGGTAAAAGTAGGGGTACGAAGTAAGTTGTTAGAAAAGTAATGGTTCTTATCTGCCGTCACATTCTATGTTTCTAGTTTATATAGTATAATAAAAAATATGTATACAAATAAAGTATAAATAATAAAGCACTGAAATTTACAAAATATAAAAGTGTAGAAGACTTATGGCTTCCCATTCCTATACAGATTGGAAAGAAAACAGGGGGAAAAAAAGGTGAAAAAACAGATAAATAAAAATAGAAGTGTAGGTGACCTGCACGAATCATGGCAAGATGTATGGATTGACGGAGTTCCAGAGAAAATGTAAAAAATATAAAAAATATCTAAAATATATATAAAAAGCTAAAACATTTTTTGAATGACTGAGATCATGATGTTCTCAACTGGGGAGGAAGGGCGGCAACTGCAAGACCAGAGCAGCAAGGGTTAAAAGGTGAGCAAATCTCTCTAAATACTTTCTAGAACCATGTAGCTTTAGGAATGAATGTATTATTGGCTTTTAGTTTGTGGGGGAGTCTTTCTGAGTCTGTGAATTCCATATTCACGTTACAATTCTAATTTAATTATTTGTTTCTATGACTGCTTGCTTTTATAGTGAGCTACAACTTTCTTTACTTTGCCAGTGGCTTCCAAATATCTCAAGCCATATTACCACCTTTAAGATTTTTTTTCGGTCCTTTTTAGTCTGTTTTGTTAAAACCTTGTCATCTTCCTTACAAGTCCATCATTGCAGTCGGTTATGTCAGCCATCAGCAAAGTCTAGCAGCTTAACCTGCAGTCTGATGTGATAGTTAAAGGGACACTATAGTCACCAGTGCAACTACATGTATTGCTATACTTATAGTGTTAACACGACCATCTAGCCCCCTTGGGCCCTCCATGCCTCCATAAATATAGTAACATCTTACTGTATTCAAGCCAGAAGCTGTAGATCTGCATGCTGTTAGACTCAGAAAAACAAGTAGTCTGCTGACATCATTAGAAGTGGTGGCCTGATCCAATCACAGTGCTTCCCCATAGGATTGGCTGAGACTGACAAAGACTGACAAAGACACAGATCAGGGGCAGAGCCAGCATGATTCAAACACAGCCCTGACCAATCAGCATCTCCTCATAGAGATGAATTGAATCAATGAATCTCTATGACGAAAGTTCAGTGTCTGCATGCAGAGGGAGGAGATACTGAATCACAGGATGCTGTGCACAGTGCTGCCATGTGCTCTGCTGACAGCAGATCTGAATGGAGTCCCTCTGGTTCACTCTGAGTGACTGCAACTGGAGGTGTTCCTAGCTTTCAATGTAAACACTGTATTCTCGCAGAAAATACAGTGTTTACACGAGAAAGGCTGCAGGGAGCTATAGTTCTCACCTGAACAACCTCATTAAGCTGAAGTTGTTCAGGTGACTATAGTGTCCCTTTAAGGTGAAGATGCACTGTAGAAGCTAGGCTTCCTCCTGTATCAAGAACTCTGCTGTCACAAGGTTGTCAATCTAACCAGGATTTGTTAGGAATAGATTTGGTAGATTTACCACTGTCCGTGTCTCACCTTGCTCCTATACACAGTCCACATCTGCCCACCACCATGATGGGCTTCCGCATGTCGTCCCCGTGTACAGGCTATGTCACCTCGCCACTCAGGACCTTCGGGCACTGCAGAGTCCTAGCACCGTCTTTAACGCTGCCAATATCGTGATTGACAGCACCCGTGTCCCCAAATGGCTCATGCATGGACATCTTCTGAGACATTATTAGAAGCTGCTGACATCCTGCATCCTCTATTGATGCATGCTGTTAGCGGCACTTGCTGACATAATAACGCAAGTTACAGTAGAGCTGTGCAGAGTGATTGTAACGGAGCTCCCTGAACCCGTCCTTACAAGGACTTCAAATGTAACGGAGCTCCCTGTACCCCGGCTGGGTACCTCCGCCAAGGACAGCTTCCTAGCTGGAACAGGGGACAAACAGCATCACTTCTGCCCACAGTCGCCTTTGCTTGACTGGGGCCCTGGAACCGCTCCTTCCTGGAGCCAAATGGGGAATTAGCTCTAGTCCTTACAAGGACTTTCCCCGTTGAGTCCCCTGCAAGCTGGAACAGTAAATCTTCTTTCCCTCCAATAGCAGGACGACACACAGTTTTGGAGTTGGAATAGGCTTTTCATGGAGGCACACTGGCCTTTTATGCAAGTTTCCCTACAAGGGTGACACCCAGGTGGACCTTGTTGGGCACAGGGACACAAAGTAAACAAACCAATAAAAACAGAGTCATACAGTGAGACACTCCCACACACCAACAACAGTATCCCTCCTCTATGCTTGGGAGATAATTGAATCAGGAACTGTACTAATCTAACCCAATTATCTGCAAGCACAGAAAAACATACAATTTTATGAAACCCCAAAAAGTACCTTTAAAACCAAACAAAAAACCCAGTCACATCCCCTGATAGCCCTGATCTGGGTGAACAACATATCCAAAAATTACCCGGATCTGTTCAGGGGTTCAGGAATTTCCTGGAAGTCATAGTTTTGACCGACTGTGCACATGGTCCTATGCCCAAAACAGCTCCATGAAATCAGTGCTAACGGCCAGTCAAGTTTGGTAGTCTTTTACAGGTTTCCCTGCCAGGCCTCTAGTCTGTGGGCAGGAGGCTGGCAAGCAATCTCCTCCAGGAGCTCGTGGCAAACTCAGGTAAAAATGGGAGTTTGCCACAGTGATGAAAAATGAAAAAGGCATGAGGGATGTATCCCAGCTACACCTATAAATGTCACACCAAACACTACTCATTGCTGGCAAGCTGTGTACTGATCTTTTGCCAAGACTAATCACCGGTGAATCTGCTCTGCCTGGAGGAACCGACCTGTCTGATCTGACTACGCCTTTTGGATTCCACTTGTCTAAACATTGTTTTTGGTGCTTTAATTTTGGAAGTACTGGGTCCTATCCTTCAAACTCTGATATCCAAAGAAGGAAATATCCCATCAGAAGCAGATTTTATGACACACTAACTACCAAAGTTATGTTGGTTTGGTTGTATTGTGATGCCTTATAATTTTAGGGATCAATTGTCGTTGTTTTTTGTTGTTGAGGTAATTGAATTTAGGGATACAATCAAACAGGAGGTGAATACTCTGAAAGGTGCTCCTCATAAAGGTAGTCTACTAGGCAAGGCCTTTTTTGGTACATTGATCTATAGCGTTAAGGGACCAGTGTAAGCACCAACACTAAAAACTATTTCCTAATGTAGTGACACAAGTGCATAGTTGTTGCCCATTTTCTCACACAAATGTAAACTTTTCGCCATATCTGGGAAAGTTCAATGTTTAGATTTGTAAGAGAACATGCCGCTAGTGGCCGTCATTAGTGGAAAGTACGTCCAGGCACTCAATGTTTCTTTAAAAAGGCAGCTTTATTGAAATCTGAATGTGCAATGTTTTGGCCTTCACAGAGGCCTTTGTCAAGCTTGAGCCAGAGAACGATGTTTAAACCTTAATTAAAGGGACACTATAGTCACCAGAAGAACTACAGCTTATTGAATTTGTTCTGGTGAGTAGACTCATTACCTTCAGGCTTTTTGCTGTAAACACTGTCTTTTCAGAGAAAATGCAGTGTTTACATTACAGGCTGGTGACAACTTCATTGGCCACTCCTCAGATGGCTGTTAGAGATCCTTCCTGGGTCATGGCTGCCTAAAATGCATCCAAACATTCAGTATCTCCTCCCTTTGCATGCAGACACTGAGGAGGACACTGAACTTTCCTCATAGAGATTCCTTGATTCAATGTATCTCTATAAGGAGATGCTGATTGGCCAGGGCTGTGTTTAAATTGTGCTGGCTCTGCCCCGATCTGCCTCTTTGTCAGTCTCAGCCAACCCTATGGATAATATAAAAGAAAAAGTGCACTGTGCAAAGGTGAACTAAAAGGATAGGTACGCTCTAACACCTAAACAAGTGGTAACCCCTACACCACTTCAAAGCAAATATACATACATACAAGGAAGGTGGAGCTTCTAAATATTTGTCTCAAATTTCTGTAAGACACAATATTACAGGAAATAGCGCATTACAGTTATATAAATAATGAATAATAAAAGAAAGTATGGTGATGTCACTCACAAGCCTGGAGTCATACCCTCATATGACTCCGGTGGTATGCGCCTCTGGACTATTCAAGGATGTCCAAATCCCCTTTCCGTTGTCCAATCGGTTGGTGGTCTCCCTTATACCGGCTTCAATATAGATAAAAATGCCAGGTGCAGGGTAATGTTGTCCAATAAAATATATACTGTATTTTCTGGCGTATAAGATGACTTTTTAACCCTGGAAAATCTTCTCCAAAGTCGGGGGTCGTCTTATATGCCGGGTATAGGGTCTATATGGCTGCCGGGGGCGCCCCCATCGCCGGCCCTTCTAATGGTGCAGCTCCTCTTCATCCTGTCAGTCCGGTCGGGTACCGCGCGGTACAGGAGATTCAGTTACCTGTTCCCGGCCGGACTGAAAGGAAGTGCACACTGAGTGCTCACTTCCTTACAGTCCGGCCGGGAACAGGTAACTGAATCTCCTGTACCGCACGGTACAGACTGACAGGACGAAGAGGAGCTCGGCCACCCACTCTGCACAGGGAAGGGGAGGTGAGAAGAATGTAGGGAGAATTGGGGGGGGGGAGTAAAAAGAATGGAGGGGGGGAGTAAAAAGAATATATCGCAATTAGCCTCCTGTGTGCTAGACAAGCAGGCATGGATTATATGCCCAAACAGCCTGGCTTTAAATGCTATTTCAGATTATCATTATTTAATGTCTTGCTGTGTAGCTCTGTCTGCTCACTGTACATCATGGCTAATTTTTATTTGGTGTGCATTGGAAGAGGGGTAGTCTTATACGGCGAGTATATCCCAGACTGTATATTTTAACTGGAAAAGTTGGTGGGCCGTCTTATATGCCCAGTCGTCCTATACGCCGGAAAATACGGTATTTATTGTTTAAAAATCAAATATAAAATTCCAAAAATAAAACATTCCAATAAAATGTAATAAATGTCCAGGTTTACTTGTCCAATGGCTATATAGCCTTAAATAAATGTCCAAATCGGTCACGTGATCCGTCAATGGAACGCAACGTGCGTTCCACTGTTCGTAATGCCGGAAAAAATCTGCCATCTCGAGGAACACATCCCTCGTTTCCATTGAGAATAAATGATACCTCTATTAACATATACAAAAATAAGAATCCATCATTCCCCTATTTTATTTTATCTTCACTATAATGATACTCATATTCTTGTTACAGAGTATAGACAGGACATATATAGATTCATCAATCCATTTCAAAAACATACATAATCCTAAAATTATATAATGTAAATTAATAACCCTTTCAATGGAATAGGTATTAAAGTGCTAAATATTCTAAAGTGCAAATGTTAAAGTAACCATAAAATCTCCACATATTTGGAACAAAAATTAATAGTATAATTCCAGAAAATAGTAAAAATTAAAATAGTAAAAATTCAATATGACAATATTCTTCTTAACACATAAAATGGCACAATTCAAAATCATTATTCAACCCGTGTGGTGACATTGTGTTAAAGTTAAAAATGAATTTCATTTCTTCTCTTCCTATGTTCTTATTATAATCCCCTCCTCTCCAATCTTTTTTCACAAGTTTTACGGCACTAAAAAACATTCTTTCCGGATTTTGATTATGATTCTGTTTAAAATGGTTTGAGACACTATGTGTCTCGACTCCGTTTTTTATATTTCTTACGTGCTCCGCCACTCTTACATGTAGGTTACGGATTGTTCTCCCCACATATAAAAGATTACACGAACATTTTAAAACGTATATTACTCCCTTTCGAATAACAGGTTAGATGGTCTCTTATTTCAAATTTTTGGTTTATGAAAGGTTCCATATTCTTTATAAATCGTTTTTTGCTTCTGGTGTTTCTACATGCCAGGCATTGCCCGCATCCATAGAAACCCTTTTCCATAGAAAAAAAGTTCCCATTATCCAATATCGGTTCCTTATTATAACTCTGTACTAAGGTGCTCTTTAGGTTTCTGGCTCCTCTATAAATTATTTTTGGTTTCTCTGGCAGGATATTTTTAAGAATCGGGTCATCATGTAGAATGTGCCAATACCTATTTATCACTTTATTGATTTTTTTGTTATTGCCATTAAAACTACATATAAATGGTACAGTTTTATTATCCCATTGTGTGCTCTCTTTTTTTATTCTTATAGATCAACTTATTCTTTCTGGGAATTTTGAGGACATCTTCTAGGGTTGTCTGTAATTTGGTTTCTTCATAACCTTTTTGTAGAAATTGCATTTTAATTTTATTTGCTTGTGTAATGTAATCTTGGTAATTTGTACAATTTCGTCTAATCCTTAGAAATTGACCTCTAGGGGCATTTATAAGCCAAGGAGCATGATGGCAACTCTCCTTCCTAATATATCCATTTGCGTCTATTTCTTTAAAGTGATTCTTGGTTGTAATTTTTGAGTCTGTTATAGTGATCTCTAGATCTAAAAAATTTATTATTTCCATGCTAATCTGTGAGGTTAGAACGATATTCCAATCGTTTGAATTTAAATAAATCATAAAATCATTTAAATCGATAGGAGTGCCTGTCCAAATAAAAAATATATAATCTATAAAACGTCGATAGCACACCAAGTTCGCCTCCCATGGATGGCCTTGAAATACAAACTGTTGATTGATGAATCTATATATGTCCTGCCTATACTCTGTAACAAGAATATGAGTATCGTTATAGTGAAGATAAAATAAAATAGGGGAATGATGGATTCTTATTTTTGTATATGTTAATAGAGGTATCATTTATTCTCAATGGAAACGAGGGATGTGTTCCACGAGATGGCAGATTTTTTCCGGCATTACAAACAGTGGAACGCACGTTGCGTTCCATTGACGGATCATGTGACCGATTGGAACGCACGTAACGTTCCACGGAGCCCAGTTGGAACGCATACCTGCGTTCCATTGAAGGAGAAGCAGTGAAAACCCGGAAGCGGAAGTATGACGTGACCCGATGACGCAGGCACGTACATCAGACGTAACCCGGAAGTGGGAACCGGCGGCTTTTTTAAAAACCAGGAAGAAAGAAGATAAACCAATACAACCAACTGACGAAGCCTTGTTACAAGGCGAAACGTGTTTTGGACATTTATTTAAGGCTATATAGCCATTGGACAAGTAAACCTGGACATTTATTACATTTTATTGGAATGTTTTATTTTTGGAATTTTATATTTGATTTTTAAACAATAAATATATATTTTATTGGACAACATTACCCTGCACCTGGCATTTTTATCTATATTGAAGCCGGTATAAGGGAGACCACCAACCGATTGGACAACGGAAAGGGGATTTGCACATCCTTGAATAGTCCAGAGGCGCATACCACCGGAGTCATATGAGGGTATGACTCCAGGCTTGTGAGTGACATCACCATACTTTCTTTTATTATTCATTATTCATATAACTATCTTGCGCTATTTCCTGTAATATTGTGTCTTAAAGAAAATTGAGACAAATATTTAGAAGCTCCACCTTCCTTGTATGTATGTATAACCCTATGGATAAGCATTGTGATTGGATCAGGTTACCACTTCTGATGATGTCAGCAGGCAATGGGCAGGTCTAAAGGAAAGGGGGACAAAGCAACCAGCTCCATACTTGAATACAAATAAGATTTTTACTATATTTATGGAGGCATGAGGGGCCCAGGTGGGCTAGATGGTGGTTTTAACCCTATAGGGTCAGGAATACATGTTTGTGTTCCTGACCCTATAGTGCTCTTTTAAAGTATTGAATTCCATTTTCTTTAGCATAGTTCAAAGAAACATGCTCTCAGATGAAGTTACTACGAAGAGACAATCGTATTTGGTGCTGGTATGTTATCATTAAATTAACAAGATTATAGAATGTCTTTAGTCCTATATAGATAACAAAACACCCCTGAATATAGTGACACATTCACTAAAGTTCCATTAAATGTTATTCACAATTGAACGCAATTTACCGAAAGTTGACAAATATTTTTTCCTTAACCCTGTAATGACCAGTGATGGTTTACACTGTCATAACAATCTGTTCTTGAAGGATTTGGTACCAAATATGAGCAGACCTGAATGTGATGATGGCATACTGTAGCAGCTGATGACACTGTATTCAGCTGATATAACTTTTTTTAGTCACTGTGGACAAAATGATAACATCAGTACCAGGGAGAGAAATCTGTTCTTACCGGATCTTGGGCTGTACTTGCAAAACCCGTCATATCAGCAGTTTAAGGTTTAATGCAGGGAATGATCTGGTGCTTCAGAAGAAATAACTGCAAATTATATTATTGCATGGGTCATTTTCTTAAATTGGAAAGAAATGTGCCTTTTGTTTTACTTATGCCTAGTGCAGGGGTGGAGAAGCAGCATGTCGATATACCCACTCTTGTTTGGAAGATTGATTACACCATGCTACCCAGTAATGAGCCCCAAAACCATGCTGCTTTACGTGACAGTAGAGAATCCAACACACGTTACTTCGGCCTCGCTAAGGATCAGCTGCATAGTGCAATGACATTTTCAATGGCCGTCACATTGATGGAGAACCACTACGGACTCATTGCCTTTGGTGATTCTTGGAAACCCTTTGTGTTTCTAGTTACTGTGCACTTGGTGTTAATTTGGCATGTCATCTTGTTCCCTCTTTATCCATGACTTGTCTTGGTTATTCAATTTTGAATTTGTGATGTTTTCTTATTCTGACCCAGTCAGAGTTGTTTATTAAAGTGAGAATTGTCAGGAATTAAACATAAAGTAAATGTCAAATTTAAAGCCAAAATAGCTGAATTGGAAAGATTATACTTCCAGCTCAGACATTTTGATCTAAATTTTGAGATTCACTTTGAATTCACAATTTTTACTTTGGTGAATAACCCTGAATGAGTTATTTTGTTTTACGGTGACCTTCTTCGTCCCTCGTTGGAGGTATTTCTGTTAGGCCAGCCTCACCAAGGTCAAGAAACCTTTGGTTTAACTTTTTTTTCTATTGTTCTGTATTGTGGTTGACCTATGTTAGCCTTTTCAGTTGTATGATCCTAACAATATGAAAGTAAAAACCTAAATGAGACTAGACATAGGAAAAGGACGTCCAATTAAACAGTATAGAAATATATATATAGTCAGAGTACAAGAAAACTGCCTCCACCTCAGATCAGAAGCTTCTTTGTGTGTTACTGAAAACAAACTACTGTAGATGACCTATTTTTGTCCATTATGGCTTTAAAACAGCGCTGTAGACACTATAACCACTCACTTTATCAAGCTGGCTATGGTGCCACTACAAACAGGATTTTGTTTCACAAATTTATCAAAGTAACAAAATAGAGTTTTAAGAAGAAGCTTGTAGCCCCATCAAAGAAAGAGCTGGCCGAGGGAGTTACACCTCCTGGATCTCTGCACACTATGCTAATGTGTAGGGAACACACTGCTCCCTTGAAGGAAGCACTTGCAAGTAAAAAGACTGCTCCGTCACTCTATGATTGTGATTGGTTGTAGGCACACATAGCCGTGCGGAATCCCCGTCACCAGAGACTAGATTTGGAGAGGAGTTTCATCACAAACTACAATTAGTCTGCATTTGAAATGATCAGGTGAATGCTCGAATTCTGAAATGTTGCCAAATCATGAAATAAACAAAACACACGATGGCCAGACACGTACACCTTGATTTGTGATTCTGAATTCCACTCATCTCTGTACATATATATTTCCTATTTATTACGTATATAAGCTATCAATACAGATACATTTTTTCTGCTCCTATTATTTTTCCATCTGTCGGATACTTTTTCTCATTTGATCTGTGAAATGGCAGGAAAATGCAGCTACCAGTATAAACATCTATCTTTATTAACACAATTCAGCTAAATCGCCCAATGGCCGAAATGCCTCTAAATATAATACTACCTTAAAAATGTTTTGGGTGGATTATTTAATGGAAAGTGTAAAATAATCTTCCGACGCTTGCCTGTTTATTCCAAACACACACACATATGGAAGGCACATGTCTTAATCGATCTGCCAACTGTGAAAGCTCTCTTACCTCGGTCCTCAGAGCCTCCTGTACATCCTGGGCAGTGAACGCGGAATACCCTGATGATTTCTGCAGATCCAACATTTGGGCTTTTTAAAATACATTTATTACATTTGTAAGGTAGAGGAATTGTGGCAACAGCAAGTATTCAGATTGGCCAAAGAGATGTCACAGACTGTTAAAACAGAATATTACATTGTTGCAGCAATACATGGTGTGATTTTGGTTCTTCTGATGGGTGCCTATTACCATGGAGACAACGAGGGAAACAACAAAACATATTTATGCTCACATTCCTCTTTTTTTCCACCCAACTGATGGGAAAGTTACACCAGGCTCCTGGTTCTAAGTCTCTAGTGTTTGGGTTGGGCTATGTGTTAAAAGCACAGGATCTGTGCAGACAGCGCTTTGTAGTATAAGGTCTCAGTGGTTCACAGGAGCTATTGGACATTGATCTCTGGATAATCCCAGACTTGTTCCCCATTTTAAGGGGGTTTTCGATCTCCCTATTGCAGACATCCCAACATGCAAAAATGCATTTTACCAGCTTTTGCACCTCACTTCCCCCCAAGCATACACACACAGCTACCAAACATATATGAACACCTTGACACACAGATACACTGGCACTAACACACTGTTTGATACACATTAACATACACACACTGACATACAGATGAACACACTCAGAAATACACTGACACACATACATACTGACATACTTATATATACTGACATCACAATCAGAAACACACACACGTCATACTTTATATATTTGCAGCCACCCTTTATGTTATCTGTTATATTTTGTTATCTTTGTGTCCAAGAGGGTGACTTGCTTGCGGTTCTTGGCTGAGGCTGATGGGAGTAAGCATGCTGCAGCAGCTCAATTCAGCCTCTCCTTGGCATCCATGCTGCCTGTACAGCCGCTACCTCCAGCTTCCTCTCTCCATTCCTCCCGGGCAGCTCTGTTTGAAGCAGGGTGGAAGTGACAGGCTGTCGCTCCGTCCAGCTGATATCACAAGGGCCTGGTTGACTCTTTCTTAACTCTATATAAGGCCAGTTGTGGCTGCCGATAAACATATTCCAGCTTGTACTCCCAGAACTATGTGTTGTCTGGTTACTGGGATTGGAAAAGGCTATTCTTTAATCACTGTTCCAGTGTGGAGGATTCAACAGGGAAAGTCCTTGTAAGGACTAGAGCTCCCAGGAGTGAGTGTCGTCCAATGCCTGGTGGTGTCTAGAGTGAATTCCTCAGTTGGCTCCAGGACCCCAGTCACACCACAGCGACTGTGGAGAGAAGTGCTGCGGTTTGTCCCTGTTCCAGCTAGGAAGCGGAGGTGTCACATATTCATCCGCTTATAGAAATGTGGTTAATGACATTTACTGTCCACACAGGAAAAGTTGTGCCGAGCAGCAACCTAATCCACAGAAGGGTTAATGCTGAGCAGCAATTATGCAAATGAAACCTGGTAACTGACTTTGGGGTCAAAGGCCGGTTACAGCCTATCAGAAACTAAAGGAGGGGTATTTAGGCCCAGTTCTCAGCCTGCTCAGTGCCCTGTCGTGGTTTCCCTTGTGGTTGTCTGAGAGCGCGTTCCTGTTTATAGTTTTCTACCTGGTTTTTGACTTTGGCTTTGTTTATTGACTTCTCTATATTCTGGTATCCTGACTCCTGGCTTTCCTCATCGCTGTGTCCCTTTCTGTGTTCCCTGACCTCGGCTAGTATTTTTGACTATTCTTTGTACGTTAAATCCGGCCATTCTAAGGACCGGTAATACGTTACTTATTTGTCATCCGTGCTGTACAGTTCTACATGCTGGATCAAACAGTAATCCTGACATTACGACATGGCCATAGATCCTGTAGAACTGTGTCAGCACATAGCTGCTTGCGAGAGGAAATTAGAGGAGAATGATCACCGCATGGATTAATTCACTCAGGCTTTAAGTACGCTTCTCGCTAGAACGGAGCATCTGCAGCCTGCAGCGTCTCCTCCTATAGCACCTCTACCCTGTGTACCTCCACCCACTGTTAATAGGACTCCTTGCATCTCCTTATCACCATCCCTACAGTTTGATGGCAATATCCAGGAATGCAGGGGTTTTCTTAATCAGGTGGAGTACCATTTTGAGGCCTCACCAGGGTCATTCCCCACGGACAGAGCAAGAATTGGTTATCTAATGAATCAATTAAAGGGCAAGGCCCTTGCCTGGGCTAATCCGTTGTGGGAGAGTAATCGGAGCATAGCTCATAATTACCAGGAATTCCTTGCCGAATTCAAGCTCACGTTTGAGCCATTGGGTAGAGAGGATGACGCCTCCACTGCCCTAATGCACATCAGACAAGGTAACCGGTCTATCTCGGATTATGCTATTGAATTCCGTACCTTAGCTTCCGAGGTAGACTGGACTAACAATGGGTTAATCTCAGCATTCAAAAAGGGTCTCTCAGAGACTATACTAGATGAGATAGCCGCTAAAGAATTACCTAAGAGTCTTAACGAATTTATTACGTTTGTCATGCATATTGATAATAGGTTAAGACTCAGAGAAGTCACCAGAAGCAAGACCAGACGTACGGCTATGTCCCTAGCACCTCAATTCTCTAAACCTGTTTTGTCTAACCTCCCTGTACAGTCCGAACCCGAACCTATGCAGTTGGGGGTCACTAGACTGTCAGAGGCCGAAAAACAGTATAGGAGAAGGGAGGGGTTATGCCTATATTGCGGTAGAAAGGGACATATGATAACTAATTGTCCAGTGCGTCCGGAAAACTTCCGCACCTAAGAACCTTAAGGGGACAGATCTTAGGTGTGATGGAGTTGTCCTCTAACAAAAACAAAAGTAGATTCCTCCTTGAGGTATCTATTTCCCTTGATAACAAGAAGTTTTCTTGCAGTGCCCTAATGGACTCAGGTGCTGCTGGAAATTTTATTGATGTACAGTTTATTAGGGGTAATGAGATACCGGTCAGGGAGAGACCTACGCCGCTAGCTGTAGAGGCTATTGATGGTAGACCACTCACACAACCGCTTATAACCCACGAAACTGTCCCTATTACGATCTCCATTGGGGCCTCCCATAGGGAGGAGATGACGTTTCAGGTTATTACTTCTCCATCATGTCCTATCATATTAGGGTTTCCGTGGCTGAGTAAGCACAATCCCTATATTGACTGGGCTAATGGGGAGATATTAGAATGGGGTAAAGAGTGTATGGGGAGATGTATAAAACCAGTACTAAAGAGATTGGATACTATTGACCTTCCCACTACCACTCCCCAAACTCCTGGAGTTCCCATACAATACCGAGAACTTCAGGAGGTGTTTAACAAGGCTCAATCCGATGTATTGCCTCCCCACAGAGCATATGACTGTGCCATTAACCTGTTTCCAGGCACTATGCCACCTAAGGGGGCAGTTTATGCCTTATCTCCCCAGGAGAGTAAAATAATGGAGGAATACATCAAAGAATCCTTGAGCAAAGGGCACATAAGAAAGTCATCCTCACCAGCTGGTGCAGGATTCTTTTTTGTTGAGAAAAAGGGTGGTGAGTTACGCCCTTGCATAGACTACAGGGCACTTAATAAAATCACTGTAAAAAATGCATACCCTATTCCACTCATTTCCGAATTGTTCGATAGACTTCAGGGAGCTAAAGTATTTACTAAGCTTGACCTTAGGAGCGCTTACAATTTGGTTAGAATTAAAGAGAATCATGAGTGGAAGACGGCATTTAATACCCGTAGTGGACACTATGAATATCTGGTAATGCCATTTGGGTTATGCAACGCCCCGGCCGTATTCCAAGACTTTATAAATGATGTACTCAGGGAATTCATTTACTCATTTGTCTTGGTTTATTTGGACGATATTTTGGTGTATTCCCCTGATCTTCAAACTCACCACTCCCATGTGAAACAGGTTCTGCAGACGTTGTTGAAAAATAAACTTTATTGTAAATTAGAAAAGTGCATATTTGACCAGCCTGAAGTCCACTTTTTGGGTTACAACATCTCTGCATCGGGATTTCAAATGGATCCTAAAAAACTAGAGGCTGTACTACACTGGCCATTACCCTCTGGTTTAAAAGCCATTCAAAGGTTTATTGGTTTTGCCAACTATTACAGAAGATTCATCAAGGGATTTTCTTCTGTAATAGCCCCAATCACAAATATGACTCGCAAAGGGGTTAGTAGCACGGTATGGTCCAAAGAGGCTGTGAATGCTTTTGAGACTCTTAAACAAAGATTTGCCTCTGCGGACATACTAAAACATCCTGACACCAGTAAACCTTTTATATTGGAGGTTGATGCATCCGAGACAGGGGTAGGGGCTGTTCTCTCTCAGAGAGAAAGCCAGGGAACACCATTGCATCCTTGTGGCTACTTCTCCAGAAAGATGTCTCCTGCTGAGCACAACTATGATATTGGCAATAGAGAACTGTTGGCCATTATTCTTGCCCTCAAGGAGTGGCGACATCTTTTGGAGGGTTCCAAGACCCCCTGTTGATCATAACCGACCACAAAAATCTGGCATATATAGGGGATGCCAAACGTTTGTCTTCCAGACAGGCTAGATGGTCACTGTTCCTTTCACGTTTTAACTTTCTCATTACTTATAGACCTGGTTCTAAAAATACCAAGGCTGATGCCTTGTCCAGGCAATTTGATAATGAGTCAGCTCCGGAACAGATGACATCTCCTATTATTCCAGCAGAGTGTATTATTGCTACTACTGTCCTCTCACTGTCTTCTCCACTGCTTGGCACCATACTGGAGGCCCAGCCTCAGGCGCCCAGTGGTAAACCGTGTGATAAACTGTTCGTTCCCCTATGTGAAAGGGTTAATATCATGAAAGTGTTCCATGACAATATAACTGCTGGACACCTGGGCATCAATAAGTCCACTGCCGCGATCACTAGATCATTTTGGTGGGATTCACTCAGGAAAGAGTCCAATGGTACAGCTGAGAGGGCTAACCAGTCATTAGAAGTTTATTTGCGTTTTTTTATTAATAGCACACAAGACAATTGGTCCGAACTACTCCCGTGGGCCGAGTTCGCTAGAAACAATGCTGTTCATGACTCCTCTGGGCACAGTCCATTTTTTGTCAATAATGGTAGGCATCCTACGGTTCTCCCTGCGGTATTTTCTGATACTGCCATTCCTGCTCTGGATGAGCATCTGGCCTCCATTCGGGATACCTGGCTTAAGGTTCAAACTGCTCTAGGGGCTGCTGCTGAACGCTTCAAACATTTTGCTGATAAGCGTAGGAGTGCCAACCCTGTGTACCAAGTGGGGGACCGGGTTTGGTTGTCATCTCGCAACATCAAGCTTAAGGTCCCTAGCATGAAGTTTGCCCCCAGATTCCTTGGTCCCTATAGAGTGCTTTGTAGGATCAATCCAGTGTCTTACTCTCTGGCTCTTCCTGCATCTTTAGGGATTCCCAACACTTTTCATGTGTCCTTACTCAAACCTCTTGTCTGCAATAGATATACTGTTCCTTGTGTTCCTCCCCCTCCGGTGGTGGTGGGTGGTCAGGAAGAGTATGAGGTATCTTCTATCGTGGATTCTAGGTTTTCTCGGGGCACTTTACAGTACTTGGTTGTTTGGAAAGGTTACGGTCCTGCTGATCGTTCTTGGGTTTCGGCTCCTGACCTGCATGCGGGCCGTAAGATCCGCGCTTTTCACGCTAAATTTCCTCTCAAGCCTGGTCCTGTCCGCCCGGTGGGCGTTCTTCAGGTGGGGGGTAATGTCACATATTCATCCGCTTATAGAAATGTGGTTAATGACATTTACTGTCCACACAGGAAAAGTTGTGCCGAGCAGCAACCTAATCCACAGAAGGGTTAATGCTGAGCAGCAATTATGCAAATGAAACCTGGTAACTGACTTTGGGGTCAAAGGCCGGTTACAGCCTATCAGAACTAAAGGAGGGGTATTTAGGCCCAGTTCTCAGCCTGCTCAGTGCCCTGTCGTGGTTTCCCTTGTGGTTGTCTGAGAGCGCGTTCCTGTTTATAGTTTTCTACCTGGTTTTTGACTTTGGCTTTGTTTATTGACTTCTCTATATTCTGGTATCCTGACTCCTGGCTTTCCTCATCGCTGTGTCCCTTTCTGTGTTCCCTGACCTCGGCTAGTATTTTTGACTATTCTTTGTACGTTAAATCCGGCCATTCTAAGGACCGGTAATACGTTACTTATTTGTCATCCGTGCTGTACAGTTCTACGTGCTGGATCAAACAGTAATCCTGACAGGAGGTACCCGGTTGGGGGTACAGGGAGCTCTGTTACAACCACCTCAGGTGAATTGTCACCTCCCCCCAGTGATTAGTAATCCCCTCACTCACACCAATAAAATGAAACCCTACCTACCCCCTTACCCTAAAAATAGAGGGGGAGCAATAAACTAAATACTTGTAAATAAATTGAAAAAAATTATACTTACGATTAATGTCTTTTTTTTTTAGCCCCCAAAAAAGCCAAATGAAAATTTATAAATATGCTTTTTAACTTATAAAATAAAACACCTGAGTACAAAAAAAAACAAGGGCACCGCACATACTGAGCTCCTCAGGCTTATAAAGCCTACCCACACCCTGCAATTTAACTCAGAACGCTCTGATTGGTTGGCTCTGACCGGTATATCCTGAACCTTGCAGGATATTATATATGATTTTCAGGTGTCAGGGAGCCGCATTCAAAATGCGGGAGTGACTTAGGATGTCTGTCTTTCTATCCCACAGCTGCTATATTTACACCACACCTGTACTACTAAACCCACACCTGTACTACTAAACCCACACCTGTACTACTAATCCCACACCTGTACTACTAAACCCACACCTGTACTAATAACCCCACACCTGTACTACTAATCCCACATCTTTACTACTAATCCCACACCTGTACTACTAATCCTACGTCTGCTGTATTGACCCCACACCTTTACTACTAATCCCACAGCTGCTGTATTGACCCCACACCTTTACTACTAATCCCACAGATGCTATATTGACCCCACACATCTACTACTAATCCCACAGCTGCTATATTGACCCCACACCTGTACTACTAATCCTACGTCTGCTGTATTGACCCCACACCTTTACTACTAATCCCACAGCTGCTGTATTGACCCCACACCTTTACTACTAATCCCACAGCTGCTATGTTGACCCCACACATCTACTACTAATCCCACAGCTGCTATATTGACCCCACACCTGTACTACTAATCCTACGTCTGATGTATTGACCCCGCACCTTTACTACTAATCCCACAGCTGCTATATTGACCCCACACCTGCGCTACTAATCCCACACCTGCTGTATTGACCCCACACCTTTACTACTAATCCCACACCTGCTGTATTGATCCCTCGCCTGAACTACTAATCCCACACCTGCTGTATTGACCCCGCACCTGCACTACTAATCCCACACCTGCTGTATTGATCCCACACCTGTACTACTAATCCCACATCTACTGTATTGACCCCACACCTGTACTACTGAGCCCACACCTGCTATATTGGCCCCACATCTTTACAACTGATCCCACACCTGCTGTATTGATCCCACACCTGTACTACTAATCTCATGTCTGCTATATTGATCCCACATCTGCTTTATTGACCCCACACCTGCAGCACTATGCCAGATTTGCAGCATTTAACCTGCACCCACAGCTATACCCCACACTGCTGTATAATCCTCTCCAGATATAGTTAATTGGAGTGTTATTTCTCTCTCAATATTACATGAGTCTTGGGGCTATCAATGAAAGGATACCTTAATCAGACCCCATAGTTTCAGGTATTCATATGGGCAGGCCCGGACTGGCCATCGGGCACACCGGGCAAATGCCCGGTGGGCCGCGGTGGCCATGGGCCGTGGCCGGCAGGGGAGTTCCCAGGATCTCCCCTGCCGGTCTATGCAGGGCCGGCGTTATCCGAGTGCCGGCCCCGCTGTCTTCCATGGAGATCAAAGATCTCCCTCACTGGCCCACATGCGCTCAAACGCGGCCGCCGGCGGGGAGAGAGGGGGGGATAGAGCCATCCTGGAGAGAGGACCCGGCGGAGCTCTAACTTGCAACTCCGCCGGGTTTCTCTCGCGAGATCCGGACCGTTGCTATGGCAACCGGCCGGGTCTCGCGAGAGTGAACTCTAGCCCCAAACGGCTAGAGTTCACTTACCACGAGGACCACCAGGGATGGATGTCAGCAGCACGACCCCCTCCCCCCCCTCTTCCAGACTACAGGAAGAATGGAGGGGGGGGGGATATAATGTATTTATTATTATTTGTATTTATTATTATGTATCTATTATGTATTTATTATTATTATTACAGCACCCTAACACCAGCACCGTAACATTGACACAGCACCCTAACACACACACAGCACCGTAGCACTCACACAGCACCCTAACACACACACAGCACCCTAACACCAGCACCCTAACACACACACAGCACCCTAACACTCACACAGCACCATAGCCCTAACACCAGCACCCTAACACCAGCACCCTAACACTCACACAGCACCCTAACACCAGCACCCTAACATTGACACAGCACCCTAACACACACACAGCACCGTAGCACTCACACAGAACCCTAACACCAGCACCCCAACACACACACAGCACCCCAACACACACACAGCACCCTAACACCAGCACCCTAACATTGACACATCACCCTAACACACACACAGCACCCTAACACATACAGCAACCTAGCACACACACACATCACCCCAACACACACACACGACCCCAACACACACACACATCACCCCAACACATACACAGCACCCCAACACACATCACCCTCACACACACATCGCCCTCAAATACACAGAACCCTCGCACAGTGCCCTAACACACAGCGCCCTCACACACACATACTGCACCCCCCCCACACACACCACCCTCCCACACACACTATACTCCTCACAAATGCACACTACACCCCTCACACACACAGCACCCCCCAAACACACTGCACCACTCACACACTCACTAGATCTCCTATACGCACTCCTGAGTCCTTCAAACACACACTAGATCCCCTACACACAGACGCTGCACCACTTACACACACACTACATTTCTGACATACACACTCAGGATCCCCTATGAACACACTAGATACCCTTTAAGCAAACACATAGTGTCTCCATAAATGGGATACAGTGAGTATCCCAATTATGGAAACCCCTGAGACAAGTTTCAAGCAAACACAATGCAAGCATGTTATTAAATTTGCTTGCGCTGTGCAGATCAGATACAGGGCCCTTTTCTCATGCCCTGGAAGAGCATTGAACCAACATGCTCACTTTGAGGTGGGGCGTGCTTGTCATTGGGGATGACAAAACACACCATATCTGGCCCCGCCCCCTTTTCAGTGGGCCGCTGTAATTAAAAAAAATTTCCCCAGTCCGGCCCTGCATATGGGACTCCAGCTTCTGTCAATACTCCAAGCAACACCACTGAACCGTGCACAATTACATGCGTACATTTGGTTCAAGAAAAGCCTTTACAATTTTTATTCTTGCCATTTTTGTTGTTTTAGAAGAATATGTATATAGAACAGTTTACTCGGTTAGTTTTTTAAGAGCCAAACATTCAGACAATGTTTGCCCAACAACTATTGAGACACAGCATGCATTTTGTAGAGAGGCAAAATAGTCTGCAAGCTAGCACAATTACTGGTGCTTAAAATCACTGTGTGCTTCTCTCAGCCGGTATTGCCTCTGCTTTCAATACAAGGGCAACACTTCTCTCTCTTTGTAGCACTTTGCACAGCTGGAGACTTGTTCTAAAGCGGTCTTCAGCAGAATATTTGGTGTGGAACCAGGGACTATTATTTTAAAAGGTCATATTTAACCCCCTTCATGCTTGTTAAATGTCAGTACTGAGGCCATAACCATAAACTATGTTGTAAAAACCTATTCCTAACAATAAAAAATTGGGGAGTGTCCACCAGGTGGAAGACCTGCATAAAAGCCAGGTAGGTAGCCCCAGTAAATCAGTTCTGCTTGATCCTCAAACAAAGTGTTGTCTCGTTCTTGGGGGAATTGGATTGTATGTCGGTACAGTGCGACTGCCAAGAGTGTAAACTGTTCGTATGAAAAGGGGAATATCGCCTAAACATTTTTAACCTCTTGTGGGCAAAACGGTCCATTACAATTGGTGGCAAGCGGCGGGATCATTCCCACAGCCCAGAAGGACAGCTACAAGGCAACACCAGTTCCTGGATTACAAATTGAGGGCAACGCTAGTACCCGTACAGCGCCCCTATCTACAAAAGAACCAACTTCAGCAGTGCAAGCATGGCGCCCAATTACAGTCAGGAGCAGTTCGACAGATTAATGCGGTGCTGACTTACTATGGACCGAATCCCTCGGAGAGATCCGTGCAGCATGTGAAGAAAATAATAAGAGAGTACCTGCAATTTCTAGCAGATTTTGCCAGGGGGAAGAGACCCCAGCGGCCGAGTTACAGGAAGACAAAGGTGTCGTCCTTCCTCCCCAGCGGCAGTGTGTGTTACAGGGAGCCGAAGGTGCCGTCCTTCCTCCCCAGCAGTCAAGGGAGACAAAGGTGCCGTTCCTCCTCCCCAGCGGCAGTGTGTGTTACAGGGAGCTGAAGGTGTCGTCCTTCCTCACCAGCGGCAGTGTGTGTCCTTAGGAGAGGAGACAGTTGGTCCCTCTCTCCAGCAGTCAAGGGAATTACAGGGAGACAAAGGTGCCATCCTTCCTCCCCAGCGGCAGTGTGTGTTACAGGGAGCTGAAGGTGCCATCCTTCCTCCCCAGCGGCAGTGGGTGTTACAGGGAGCCGAAGGTGTCGTCCTTCCTCCCCAGCGGCAGTGTGTCCTGCCGGGAGCAGAGACAGTCGGTCTCGCTCCCCAGCAGCGGGACAATATATCAAAAGGGGAGACGGTCGTTTCCCCTCTCCACCAGCAGAAAGAGTGTCAGGGAGAGGAGCTTGTTATCCCCTCTCCCCAGCGGCAGCCTAGCCCACCAAGGGGAGATAAGCCCCACACCGGTGCAGATGGGACCGTAGTCTCTGTGCCCAAACCACAGGGGGTAGGGACGGTCAGTCCTGTCCCCCAGCAGCAGGGCTGGTTGCCCAAAGGGGAGACATTCTGTCTCCCCCTACAGCAGCAGCACCAGATCCAGAGAGGGCAGCCTAGTACCCCTTCTCCTCAGCGGGGCTCCAACCAGGCTACTCCCGTTATAGCGCTGGCACCAAGTACCGCTGGTCTCTGCCCACTCTGCAACCCACTGACCTGGAATAGCAGCACCCCACACAGTAGTGGTGAAGCACCTGGACAAAGCTACTCATTTCCCCAAGTGTAGTAACCCTTTATTGTGGGTGGGCTGTACTGCTGATTGTTTTCTGTGGGTGAGTTGCTGGACTAACCAGGGCACTGACCGACAGGAGGTCAGATACCCTGTTAGTCTGATTGGTAAAGGGGAGAAATGTGACGGAACCAACCTTGCCACTGGCCACTGGAGGAGCCTGGTTGCCCGCCGCTGGACTATGGCCCTGCATTAAAAACCTTTTATTTTCCCTATGTGAGCAGTGTTACCCCAGATAGCTAAGCCATGGAGCCCATTCGTATACCGAAAGACTATGGGAAAGACTTTGGCTCCATGACGATTGAACTGTATGTATGTGATCTGAGCGCCATCCAGTAATAATGTGCGCTCAGATCTAAGCTATCTGGAGATATGTAGAATGTGTATGTTCTATGTGACAAATGTAACAGTATGTAATTTTATGTCTTTTATTGTCCTTTGTCTGCCATGTGGCTAATGGAGTTTTGCCTCTGTCCTTGGAGATAATTGGATTACTTCCCAATTATCTCCAGGACAGAGAGGAGGGATTGTGATGCATTGTGGGATTGTAAGCTTGTGATTGGTCAATGTCCAATATGTTTCCCAGTTTCCCATCTGGTCCCCTAGGGGAGTGTCCACCAGGTGGGAGACCTGCATAAAAGCCGGGGCAGGTAGCCCCAGTAAATCAGTTCTGCTTGACCCTCAAACAAAGTGTCGTCTCGTTCTTGGGGGGAATTGGATGGTATGCTGTTACAGTGCTACTGCCAGGAGTGTAAACTGTATGGTTTTTCCTGTTCGGCTGTTTACAGCATTCTTGTGTTTCCTGTTCGGGAGTTGGAGTTTTCATGTGTTTGCAGATCGGGAGATTGGTGAATTCATGTGTTTGCAGTTCAGGAGATTGGTGATTGCAGTAGCTGCCTGTGCATCTGAAAAGGGGAATATCGCCTTAACAGTTTTTAAACTCTTGTGGGCAAAACGGTCCGTTACATCCTTCTTTCTGTGCAAATCTGTACACATTGCATGAGCTTTGAGCCCGACCCTCCCCAGGAAGTAGCTTGGCCAATCCGAAGTCTCTCGTTCTGGCCTACAGAGTCTGAATTGTCGAACCCGGTACTAGAAGAGTTAACGTGTAGGGAGAGTGGCTCACCAGCTCTGTGGGCAGACTTGAGTTTTGCTCCCAGCAGGAGTTTCTCAAAAAAAAAGTTATTAGCTTTCTTATTATGAAAAATGCATTTATTTCCAAAATCTGTGCAAAAAATATATAGTTAATTATTTAAGCCAAAAGCTGTAAAATTCACAAAAATGTATTGGTGCTGGGGTGCTCCTTAAAGGACCACTATAGTGCCAGGAAAACATACTCGTTTTCCTGGCACTATAGTGCCCTGAGGGTGCCCTGGCTCTGGAAAGGGGTTAAATCTTACCTTTTTCCAGCGCTGGGCGGAGAGCTCTCCTCCTCCGATCCTCCTCTTCTCCTCCCCGTCAGCTGAATGCGCACGGGCGGCAACAGCTGTGCACGCATTCAGCCGGTCACATAGGAAAGCATTCATAATGCTTTCCTATGGACGCTGGCGTGCACTCACTGTGAAAATCACAGTGAGAAGCACGCAAGCGCCTCTAGCGGCTGTCAATGAGACAGCCACTAGAGGAAATAGAGGAAGGCTTAACCCATTCATAAACATAGCAGTTTCTCTGAAACTGCTATGTTTATGAAAAAATGGATTAACCCTCGCTTGACCTGGCACCCGGACCACTTCATTAAGCTGAAGTGGTCTGGGTGCCTAGAGTGGTCCTTTAAACTTTTGTTATATAAAAATATAATAAGGAATTAAGAATCAAAAAGTATTTTAACCTCTTAAAAACGTCATGCATGGTATGTTCTACCATCCCGTCTCTAGAATACAAATATTTATTCTTTTATTTCTCCTCCACGTAGGGTCCTGCAGAACGGACTAGAAGTGGAACGTCTACGTCTGAGAAACTTCTTCCATTATTATCACTCCAAGAGGGGTATGTGGAACACCAAGAACCAGGACAGCGCTGCCAAGGACTGAATCTGGACTGATGGAGTATCTCTAAGCCCAGTTCCGAAGTATACTTTTTGGATCCTTTCTCTCATTTTTGTTTGTTTGGAGAGGGCTGGCCGTTACGTTGAATAACCCTGCTTCTGCCACAAAGAGGTGCAGACTATGCCTCTGCCTATTTTAACCTTTGCAGATTATACTGGCAGGGCACTGAGTAGGCTGAGATTTTCTGCAGGAGACAACTGATATCTTCAAGTTGCGAGAAGTGGAAATACATTGCCCAAGAGATGTGGACAGGCTGAGACATTCTCTTGTCAAGGAAATAAGTTATTACAAAACTGTTTACAATCTGTAATTGTGAAGCTGCTGGGAGCAACCATCCATGATTAGCAGAGTCTACACACTATGCCTTATAAGCACAATACCTAAATATTATCCATAGAAATGTAATTGCACTATTAGATTGCAGCCAGAGTATCACAATTAGTCTACAAAAAGGATGTTGGTTCCAAAACTCATCTTGTGCGACATACTTGAAGGAAGACACAGGCTTTAGTAGACTTGAGACTTGTCCATCTCTTGGATGTCTGTAGAAGTTTAGATTGTGGATTAATCGGTCTAAAGACTGACACCGAGAACTTTCCCATGGCTCTAAACTCCCTGATGATTTGACATGTTTATTATATTAATATTGACTTGTTAACATGGGGTCTGACGCTCATTTTATGACCCATAATACGCCTGGCTAGACGTTAGACAGCCTATATTTTAGTGGGTTCAAATCAGGCAGTTTGATTCTTCTGGAATATGTCCTACCTTACAGGTAAAATGGGAACATTTAGAGGGAAAATCATATGTAACCCCCAGAAAAATGTCCCAATAGTATTGACTGTAAATGTTTCAAGAAAAATGGAATCCTTCCACCCCCCCTAATATATTTTATTTATTTATTTTATTTTTAACCTCTTTTAGGAAGTCTATATGCATTCTGCAACACCTATAGTGACCACAGGGTGTCGCTGAATCCTACCTTTAGCCATGTACTTTGCAGGCTCTATAGGTAAGACTGAGTGTCAGGGTAAGTATAAAATGCAAAGTGCAGCGTAGACATTGGATGTGTTAAGACGTGAGCGAAGTTTAAAACAAAACAAACTCAGAAATAGTTGCACTAGGTGCAGCTAACAGTTGGTCTAACCACCAGACTGGGGAAATACCCCAGGACTCTAAAAAATTGCACAGAAGAAGAGATATATAATGTTTCACGTGTTTTATTTTCAAATGACAAGCACTTGTATAGGTTTTTTTTTGTTTGTTTTTTTTTTTTTATGTTCGCTAAGCCACGTAGTGGTGTTTTTTTATTTAACAATAGAGTAAGGAATGTAGAAGCCATTGGCATATTCATGGATTATTCACTTAATTATGAATTTGAAATTCACTTTGAATACATTTCCAAATTCCAGACATAACACATGCTTTAGTGACTAACCCAGGCACTATTCTACAGTAATGTTGTAGTAAGAAATTCCGACATGCTGATCTTTATTCCATAAATTGGAAGTTGTGGAAGACTGACAGGGGGATCACATGTCAGAATAACTTAACGAGCTGGAAAATATAGCTGCACTGAGATTTTTTCCTATTAATGTTTTCCATTCCCTTGTCAACTCTCTATAATTCCAAATTTAGTAAAAAGACCCTAAATAAATGAAAAGACGAGAGCATTTTAAGAGGGTACTGTCAACAAGCTTACTTTATAAAGCTTGCTTATGTTATTAGTGGGAAATGTGAATCGAAATGGGGTTAATTGCACATTTAGGCAAAAATGGCAGATACCGAGATATTCTCCAAATTGGCAATAGTAAAGCTTGGATATTTTAGTCCACGTTTACTATTCAAATTTGGAGTTGCTACAGTTTGGAGTTTAGTGAATTGATGACAGAAGAAATTCAGAGTTAGAAATGAGCCAGTAATTATTATATTATTATATGCTGCTGGTATAATAGCTCAATAGGCTAATGCATCATCAGTTGAATCTGTTCAACCCTTGGGTAGCAGGTTCCCGCAAATCCTGGCAGCCCTTCATCCTTCCGAGATAGATAAAATGAGTACCATTAAATTGGGTAATAGTAACAACCCCTGGATGTTGAGCTAAGGTAACATCCCCAGGACGTACATGTAACTCAGTTCTCTGAATGTACCTTTCCTGGTTAAATACTTTTGTTATTATTATTAGTAGATAGGAAGATGGGCCAGTCTATTCTACTCTGTCATATTAACTTGCTTCATAGGATTATACCCTGAATTATGCATTATTATTATTATTTATTAGACTACGGATACCGACATATCTGAAATATAGCACTTTACACTGGGGGGGGCAATTAATAGTGCATTGACAAAAAATTTTTATTTTTGTCTAAATATTTGCATTTTCAATTTGGAATATAGTGTTATGAGAACTGTTTTTAGTTATATATTTTTTCCTTTTCCCTCTTTAGTTTTGTTATTTTGTCCTAAATTCTGAAAATTACATTTACAATTCACTCACTAGTAAAGGAATCAAACTCTAGGTATAGGAAGAAATTAGTGATTTCGGTCTCCGGGAACCCAATACAACAGACTGAGGAGCCAAGACGTTTTCGTAAGATGCATATATTCATAGGAAATGTGTTTAGAAAGATATATGCTTCCAATGTGTTATCCTAGTGTTTGAGTCAACCTGTCAGTGAAGCTAATTTCGAAGTCTTTTTTACCCCTACAGGAATCCCCAGCAGGGCCTGGCCTATGTCCTCTCTGGGACTGGTTATCTCCTGTGCAGAAGTCCAGCCATGCTCAATAATTACAATGATTTCTGTGAAATTAAACTGTAGCAAGAGGTTTTTAGAAGTTTTAAATATTTTCTTTTTAAACCGAAATAAAAACCGTTTTCAGTTTGGCTGTTATGTTGTTTTCCTTGATTTTTTGATCCCTATGATTTTCTGGGATATTGTAAAAATGACAAACCTGCAGTGGGCCGGGCTCTACGATACAGTGCACTTTGATGACGCTATTAACTTGTGCTATTGGGTCCACGCCACAACAATCTGCTCTAGTAAACACGTATTTTATATCAAAATGTAAAATACCCCAGTAAAGAGATTTATGCTGAAAGTTTGCAGTGGCTGCTGCCACCATATGGCTTAATTTAAGAGCTAGCTAACCAGGAAGGTGCCTTGGCTGATCAAAGACAATTCTCAGACAGACTATCTTCAACATCTCAGAATGTATGACATAAGTCTTCAACCTCAAGACTTCTGAGACCGAATGAGAATGTGCAGTGTCCTGTCCTGCAAAGTTTTATGTGATTAGTTTAACCTTAATTTTATTTCAAGTTTATTTTTTCTTTAATTGGTCCAACTGATTAACAAGGAATTGTTAGTAACTTTGCTTGCTTGCATAACCAAGTCAGGAGGAGCAGAGGATGGTCCGGAGGCAAAGGAAGAGCAGAGGACGGGCCGGAGGCAAAGGAGGAGCAGAGTCTGGCCCAAAGGAAAAGGAGGAGCAGAGGCTGGCCCAGAGGAAAAGGAGGAGCAGAGGCTGGCCCAGAGGAAAAGGAGGAGCAGAGGACGACCCAGAGGAAAATGAGGAGCAGAGGACGGCCTGAAGGAGGAGCAGAGGCCAGCCTGAAGGAGGAGCAGAGGCCGGCCCAGAGGAAAAGGAGGAGCAGAGGACGACCCAGAGGAAAATGAGGAGCAGAGGACGGCCCGAAGGAGGAGCAGAGGACGGCCCAGAGGAAAAGAAGGAGCAGAGGACAGCCCGAAGGAGGAGCAGAGGATGGCCCGGAGGCAAAGGAAGAGCAGAGGACGGACCGAAGAAGGAGCAGAGGACGGTCCGGAGGCAAAGGAGGAGCAGAGGGCGGCCCGAAGAAGGGGCAGAAGACAGCGCAGAGGAAAAGGAGGAGCAGAGGACGGCCCAGAGGAGAAGGAGCAGAGCACGGCCCGAAGGAATAGATGACGCCCGTGGGAGGGAGGAACAGAGGACGGCCCGGAGGTGGGCATTACATGAAGAGCAATATCCAAGAACCTTGAAAATTAGTGGCGCTGGAATGGAGGAAAGGAAATCTCTATATTTTACATTGAATACATCATGTATCTTTGTGATATACGGTCTATTCAATGTATATGGAAGCGATTTCAGGTAAGTTAAGTTTTTCACGAAAGGGTTGTCAAGGTAAACATAGAAACATAGAATGTGACGGCAGATAAGAACCATTCGGCCCATCTAGTCTGCCCAATTTTCTAAATACTTTCATTAGTCCCTAGCCTTATCTTATAGTTAGGATAGCCTTATGCTTATCCCACGCATGCTTAAACTCCTTTATTGTGTGGAAGGGTGGATTGTGATCACTTCGAGATCGTTATTGACTCATCAGCAGCAGACAATTGTCAATAAATATCAAGTATGAGGTTTTAATTGACCCCAATATTGAGAATAACTGCTTTCATTTATCACATGCAATAACATGCAACATCCAGAAATCGTGAGTGTGATTTTTATTCCTATAAATCAAGATATTGCAGAAGCACAAATGCTGGGTACTAAAAACATTACACATTTTTTATGTCATTGTTGGAATTTATCATTCTACTAATATCATTCGACTTTAGTGTTGCCTTTCCATAGCTGCGACGTATAGGAGGTTAAATACTAAAATGGAAAGAAAGTTACAGGTGACAATTCTGGGTAATATAATTAATAAAAGAATGGAGGTGATATATGGCATGCCACTGTAATATAGGAGCCAATTGTTTAAAAACAATAAGCTCATTCAGTGTGAACATGACTTACAATAAGTAGGATGAAAATAACATGGTTACAGATTAAAAAATTACAATTAAATAAAGGTTTCCATTGTTCGATAATTGAAATGTTTTACAGTGCAAGTTGTCAAGATAGATACATAGATGGAAAGATACGGTATCTCACACCTCATATTTTTGTAAATAATTTTCTTATAACTTTTCATGTGACAACACTGAAGAAATGACATTCTGCTACAATGGAAAGTAGTGTACAGCCTGTATAAAAGTGTAAATGTACTGTCCCCTCAAAATAACTCAATACACAACCATTAATGTCTAAACCGTTGGCAACAAAAGTGAGTACACCCCTAAGTAGAAATGTCCAAATTGGGCCCAATTAGCCATTTTCCCTCCCTGGTGTCATGTGACTCGTTTGTCACCGGGTCTCAGGTGTGAATGGGGAGCAGGTGTGTTAAATTTGATGTTATCACTCTCACACTCTCTCATACTGGTCACTGGAAGTTCAACATGGCACCTCATGGAAAAGAACTCTCTGAGGATCTGAAAAAAAGAATTGTTGCTCTACATAAAGATGGCCTAGGCTATAAGAAAATTGCCAAGACCCTGAAACTGAGCTGTAGCATGGTGGGCAAGACCATACAGCGGTTTCACAGGACAGGTTCTACTCAGAACAGGCCTCACCATGGTTGACCAAAAAAGTTGAGTGCACGTGCTGAGCATCATATCCAGAGGTTGTCTTTGGGAAATAGACATATGAGTGCTGCCAGTATTGCTGCAAAGGTTGAAGACGTGGGGGGTCAGCCTGTCAGTGCTCAGACCATACGCTGCACGCTGCATCAAATTGGTCTGCATGTCTGTCGTCTCAGAAAAGAGCCTCTTCTAAAGATGATGAACAAGAAAGCCCGCAAACAGTTTGCTGAAGACAAGCAGATTAAGGGCATAGATTACTGGAACCATGTCCTGTGGTCTGATGAGACCAAGATAATCTTATTTGGTTCAGATGGTGTCAAACGTTTGTGGTGGCAACCAAGTGAGGAGTACAAAGATAAGTGTGTCTTGCCTACAGTCAAGCATGGTGGTGTGAGTGTCATGGTCTGGGCCTGCATGAGTGCTGCCAGCACTAGGGAGCTACAGTTCATTGAGGGAACTATAAACGCCAACATGTACTGTGACATACTGAAGCAGAGCATGATCCCCCTCCCTTCGGAGACTGGGCCGCAGGGCAGTATTCCAACATGATAACGACCCTAAACACACCTCCAAGGCGACCACTGCCTTGCTAAAGAAGCTGAAGGTGAAGGACTGGCCAAGCATGTCTCCAGACCTAAACCATATTGAGCATCTGTGGGGCATCCTCAAACGGAAGGTGGGGGAGCGCAAGGTCTCTAACATCCACCAGCTCCGTGATGTCATCATGGAGGAGTGGAAGAGGACTCCAGTGGCAACCTGCGAAGCTCTGGTGAACTTCATGGCCATTAGGGTTAAGGCAGTGCTGGAAAATATTGACAATTTAGGCCCAATTTAGACAATTTAACTTAGGGGTGTGCTCACTTTTGTTGCCAATGGTTTAGACATTAATGGCTGTGTGTTGAGTTATTTTGAGGGGACAGCAAATTTACACTGTTATACAGGCTGTTCACTTACTACTTTACATTGTAGCAGAGTGTCATTTCTTCAGTGTTGTCACATAAAAAGATATAAATTATTTACAAAAATGTGAGGGGTGCACTCATTTTTTTGAGATCCTGTAGATAGAAGGATACTGAAATAGGTAGGAAGATAGATACATAGACAGACAGATACATGGATGGATACTATGATTTAAAGAAATCCTTTTGGCAGAGAGTACTCCGTGATCCCATATATTCAATCTGCATTCTAGAGGCATTCTGTTCTGATCCCAGCCAAACGTAAACCATGCTCTTTAGCAGGGGTTCCCAACCCAGTGTTATGCTACTTGGGTTATTTGGATTGGAACTCAACTGCAGCTTGTAGAATTCCTTAATTACAATAGTAAAGAAACAAAGAATCTTTAAAGTATCAATACTGTAGCTTTAAGAAAAGAGAGGATGGCTGGCAATTTGAGAATCAAACGAAGTTTTAATGATTGATAAACTTAAATGAATTGCATATAGGCAATAATCCAATAAGAAGAAAGTGCAGGATATCAAACGATACAAAGTTCATTAATAAGTATTTCCGCAGAGAAGTTTTTAATAAGATTCTTTAGGTTGCTGGGAATAATCTTCAATAGAAACATTAAGCAGGTAGCAGAGAGTATTTGCAAAGCAAGAAACAGTTCATAGTAAATAAGCATGATGGGAGTTGTCCTCCATATAATTAATAACTTGAAGCAGAGAAGATTTAAGCAAGCAGGAATTGGTTCATTAATAAATGATATTGTAGACAATAGTTGAAAGATATACGTAAGGTTAAGGTGAGTTGTCCTCCAAGAGTTCAGAGTTATAGTCCACTTGTAAATTAGCAAAGTATTCGTTCTCCAGTAATCCTCTATGGCTTGCAGCAATCCTTGCATTGGCTCAAAGGCTGGGACGGCTTGTCAGAGCTTGTGGAGCCGGCGTATATACCCGGAAGTAGGTCCCACAATCACCAAGCACCTTCTCCCTGGTGCGGTCTCTCTAAGTACTGTCAGAAAGCCGCGTCAGCAGGGGGCGGGGCCAGCTCCGCATAGCGGAAGTGCCGAACCCGGAAGAGATACCACATGACACCCAGTCCTCAAATACCCTCTACCAGTCCACAATTTAGGGATTAACCAGTTGTGTCTAAACTATTTTGGTTTTTTTCTCTTTCTAAAAACACCTTGGAAACAACAGGGTAATCCCTAAATCCTGGACTGTTAGGGGGTACTTGAGGGCTGGTTTGAGAACCACTGCTCTATAGCATTAAATTACAAGCTGGACAGAGGTGGCAAGTGGTGTCCCTCAGGGGTCTGTTCTGGGACCCCTTCTATTTAACATGTTTATAAATGATCTTGAAGACCGCATTGAAAGTCATGTTTCAGTGTTTGCAGATGACACCAAACTTTGTAAAACAATACAATGTGAGCAAGATATTACTTTGCTGCAGAGGGATTTAGATAGACTGGGGGACTGGGCACTCAAATGGCAGATGAAATTTAATGTTGAAAAATGCAAAGTTATGCACTTCGGCGTAAAGAATACACAAGCAACGTATACCCTTAATGGAAGCGAATTAGGGATAACAACACACGAAAAGGACTTGGGAATTGTTATAGACAACAAACTATGCAACAATGTGCAATGTCAATCAGCAGTGGCCAAGGCCAGTAAGGTATTGTCATGCATGAAAAGGGCATTCATTCTCGGGACGAGAATATAATTTTGCCTCTTTATAAATCACTGGTAAGACCACATATTGAATATGCTGTGCAATTTTGGGCACCTGTTCTAAAGAAGGATATTATGGCACTAGAAAAAGTGCAGAGGCGGGCTACAAAATTAATAAAAGGAATGGAACATATCGGCTATGAAGAAAGGTTAACAAACTTAAACCTATTTAGTTTAGAAAAACGTCGCCTGAGAGGGGATATGATAACATTATACAAATATATTCGTGTCCAATACAAACTATTGTGTGGAAATCTATTCACAAACCGGACTTTACATAGGACACGAGGCCATGAGTTTAGACTGGAAGAAAGAAGATTTCGTCTAAGGCAAAGGAAAGGTTTTTTTACTGTAAGAACAATCAGAATGTGGAATTCTCTGCCTGAAGAAGTGGTTTTATCAGAGTCCATACAGATGTTCAAACGGCTACTAGATGCATACTTGCAAGAACAGAATATTCAAGGATATAATCTTTCAATGTAGGGTAATAACTGTTTGATCCAAGGATAAATCTGACTGCCATTCTGGGGTCAAGAAGAAATTTTTTTCCTAGCTTGTTGCAAAATTGTGCTTCAAACTGGGTTTTTTTGCCTTCTTTTGGATCAACAGCAAAAAACAAATGTGAGGTAGGCTGAACTTGATGGACGCAAGTCTCTTTTCAGCTATGTAACTATGTAACCACGTTTACCCATCATTTTTCTGTGAGGGTTTGAAGTTGCTAGATACTGTCATAATAATTCACATTTTCTATTGTACAGAGAAATTTGCACTTATGAAATGTATTATTATAAATATAATTTATATAGCACCAACATATTCTACA